GTCTCGTATGCACCTCTTCGTTACAAAATGTGTATGAGTTGCCTAGGGATACTCTGCCATATATATATATACATATATTACTGATTCCAGCTGACTTAGGGCATCTTCTTCTTGAACCCAACTGGTATACCGGTGACTAAACATAATTCCGTCAAAAGATTTTTTGATGTCCACTGGTATAGGAAGGGCAGGTTGGTCGCCATTTTCTCCAAGTGCCAATGCGTCCATTCGGTACCACTGTAAATGAAAACAGAAGCTTTTCAATAAAAAATTCATGAATAGCCAACAGAGTACAGTAAGCAACTTAAAAGAGACATTGACTTGGAAACTATAGCGGAAAAAATATAAATTCCTTACCACAGTTACCGTTTTGGAAGGTTCCCGATTATAGCCATAAACATTTACTGAAACACTCGTGAACGACAAATATGGACACAAGTGATGAAACGAAGCTCTACAGTAATCACTGAGACGCCACAAACAGGAGGATTTTAGGTGCACCCTATAATTTTCACATGAAACCCATTCTCAAGCATCCTCCTGCACCATAACTGCCTTCAGGCCTAGAGGCAGCTTCTGACGACTATTCTTAACAAAATCAATACAGTTCAAGCCAAACAGAAACCAGAATCACGTCAAATGCAGCTACCTAGATCAAACGAAACAAACCAGCCAAACTCAAATCAACTAGACCGCACAAATGTCCCCAAGGTAAAGCTGGAGGCGCCACTTCAAACAGGGGATATGCCTTATCAACGCCCGTCAAGATGTTCCCTTCTAGATTTAGGGCCTCCTACATCGGGAGTGAGAGGTTTACTCGTAGGCAGAGCGAGTGACAAGAGGTGACAGTATTCGCTGCTAAGGGATATACAGAAGGGAGCCGCGTGGCGAGTACTATACCATGTCGCCATGGACGTCACACTCGCATCTTTCAGAGTCGCTGTGGTAGTTTACGTTCGTGCTCCAAAGTTTAAAAAATACTTCAAAGTTGAGGAGTTAGTCTAATGACGTGCGACGGCATCGACCTATACTTTTGTTGCTGCTGTTTTCGGATGGTGGGAATAAGTGTCAGTGTGATGAATTTGTCCCCGCTGCGCGCTTGCCCGGTTCGTTTGCTTTCCCTTTTGGCCTTGTCTTGTTTAGTGTAAAAGAATATTTTTCATTGGCAAAAGAGAATGGATCCTCAATCAGCGGGGGAGTGTCAGTGATGGTGCACATTGAGTAGACGATTGATGAAGTTGTTTATTCGGACCACTTTCATATTAGTTGGAGGCAGCAATCCCTGTCGTAGCCGAGACGCTTGTTTTTTAACAGAATACCGGAAAAACAAGATCAGAAGAAATAATGCATATTATACTGACTTTGTTTGTAGGCCATTTTGGTGTTTTGATAGTACTCAACTGTGACTCACATGGTCAAGTCACTGTTTAACTAACCCGCTGTATAGGCTTACACTTTCTTGATCAGTTGATCCGCCTTTTAATACCGCTTGGGTTGAAATCGAGTTGATTGTCAAATACGTAAAATATTGTACTGAGTTCCGAAGAGTCGTCTTCTGGCTAAGGCAAATTTTTCTGGTGCCGTTATTGACAGATGATGATACGGTCACCCAGATGTTATAGGTGATTGAGCAACTCAGACGGAACAAACTACCAAGTGGGATCTCTATATTCTCCACGATTTATAAGGCCTATTTTATATGCTGAATGACATAAGCTCCGCTTCGCCTTTTGTCATTTCTTCGGAAGTGAAGGTTTAGAAGCACCAGGTTGTCAGTCGGTAATATGTGTAGTCATTTTGATAGAAAAGTCCGTTTCTAAAACTTAACATCAACGAGTAATCTTGAGCAAGCTACTTCCTTGGTTGGACATATGAGTCCTATTCTTGCGAAGGGAGGTGATAGACTGAAGAGATGTGTCTGGAACCCCATATATTTGGTAGAGTCTAAACTGTCTAGAGAAATTGCGCCAATATTGAGAAAAAGAGACTTTGAGAAACACCTCGTCGAACACATTTTAGCTTCATCATGTGATACAAAGGAAGATTAGAGCCAATAAGCCTGGACATCTTAAAAATAATGAAAACATGTTTACGACTGCATCTTAAATCCTACTGAGTCATTCGATGGTAATATTCTGCACCTACATGCTTCATTTATCATTTTGTGTGGATTGGTATGCTATCATCCTGGTTTCTATCCGCGTATCAATAAAAAAGGCCACCTGTTGCTGGTTATGGTGATCTATCAGCACCTCTCTACATGTTTAGCCGGACACTGACTACTGTGGTGAGCTGTTTGCAGGTGATATTGCTGAAAACAGTTTTTTCGCCCACCGTAATTGCCACATGTAACAGAGCTGTCAGTTGCCGCGCATTTTTGACAAATTCAGACAACAATGATGCCTAGGATTATATCCTGTGAATTGCTTATACCTATGAAAACTGACATTATACTACCGAAGGTCAGCTTGTCCTACGGGTTCTAATCTTCCAGATCTTTAAATTCACTTCTGACTGAAATGTCACTTATCTACCTCACGATGATCTTATCTACCCAATATTATTCTCTATTTTATCTTAGCTACCTAGGCCTTTAACGAAACTGAAACTTACTCTTTTATTCGTATTCGTCGAGCCTTCAATTCTGGTTGCTCTGATGGAACCAAAACAACAACACCAATGTTTGAACAAAGCTATATTTTCATCGAGAACGTCACAATTTCCATGGTAAGGCCGGTATGGTTAGCGTTAAACATTGCAAATGTATACTACCATTCCAAGGACAGTGTAGCTCCTTCTTGTATGTATCTTGTAAATGTACTTCCAATGATGTATTATCATAATTGTATTTTATACCATTTTGCAGTTTCCCAGGACGTTCTTCTCTTCCTGAAGTCACTTTTAATCACGTGGTGGCATAGCACTCACCCAAATATACGCTGTTCACTGGTCGACCATAGCTATCAGCAGGAAACGGAACGAAGTTTGGGTTGTCGCTCAACTTCGATGGTGACCTTAGTGAGTGGTTTAGAATTTAACATCTATACGAACCTGTTCTGGCTGCTTGCACAATGATCGAGCAGTTTAAACTTTTGAAAAGTATTAATTTATGATACTTCAGGATTGTAATTTGTAACATAACTGATCGTGCCGGTAAAAATGACATGCATTTCTTGTAAACTTACCCGTTTATACGAAATATGAATTATTATTGGTAGTAGGAAAGGGTAGCGATTTACTGCCTGTGGGGTTAAACCATGACAAATGGATTTGAGAAAACGATTTACTTTGTAGGATGCAACAAAGCTCCAGATGGGGTTGATTAATAGAAACCAGGATGTGGCAAACAATCCTTAAACAGGTGTCTTGCTTTAAAATGAGTGTTCATTTCCGCGAACTTATCTGAAACGGATATGTCCAGGCCCCGCAACTGTAGACTTCACCAAGCTAAGATAACGTAATTCCCGTGAGGCCTATGTGGAAACTGACAATTTCTGTCAATCTTAGCATAAATTTTCTAAGGCGTTCAACAGCCAAGCGTCACGAAACAACCCGAGGACACTGAAAAATTTGCCCAATACCGGAAGTGTGAAGTACGGTTAATTAGATGCATCTACTTTGTAGACTACTACATGGAGCTCGAGGGCGCAACCGGGACTTTTTCTAAAGTAAGGATCCAGAAACAAGCCAAAATTGTGTATGCAGCATGATTAGCACCAAACATGTCCTGTAATTCATGTTGACTGGGTGCATACTTATCACAGTTCTTTGTAAAACTCTATGTTTCTTATGCTACATGCCACATGAAGCTTATAGCTTATTTCTTCCTGTCTCTTTGAAGAAGACTTTAGCTGTTTTAGGAAAGCGCAAACAAGGACAGCAAGGCTTTTCACACAGTCATACAAAAACCATAAAACAAAATGAGGTGAGTAAGTCCTGATCCACTTAACTACTGCCTACTGAATGGCGAACTGACCAGTGTATGTGGGACCATGAGCGGTCACAGCAATTTAAACAAATCTACTCCCTCATCATATATTATTATCACCATACTAGGCATTTTTCACAACAAGAGGGGAAAGATGGGTAGATTTTAGCAGAGTCACACTTTTACCAACACGTATACACTCTTAGGAGGCGAAGAACCTTGACAAGTACGCAAGACCAAATTATATGACGATGCGCGTATGCATCCTCTCAAGCCTTGTAAGCTTGTTCCACAAAGATCAGAGAACAGTTGGTAACCACCTCAGGACAACAATAGTTATTTCTTTGAGTTCCTACAGGGACGTAAGGTTTCAGCGGCACATCACCACTTCAATCATTTTCCTGCAGTTCCATTTAACTGACTCCACGACTGCCCATAAGCCCTCACTTACCCGTCATACCATCTCTTCCATGTTACTCCCAGACGTCGAGGCCGTGGTTTTCTACTCGGATTCCCTCGAGGGACTGCCTGGTGCTTCATATTACTAAACAGTCTCCTCAGAGTGTGTCCAATCCATCTCCATTTTTGTCTACATATTTCTTGGGCAGTAGGTTCTTGGGTGGTCCGCCACACTCCCAGGGTTCCTTGCCGCTGTTTTTTCTGGTCAGCCATTTGATTTCCAGCACTCAGTTAAGGTGGCTGTTGACGAACAATAATTAAATCGTCAAAAATAAGAAGTACCCTTCAGGATAGGTACTGTTGATTAGGGATGAGCTATCATGTACCAGCAACCGAATGAAATATGACGGCATGTCAAACGACAGTGTTACTTGACGGCCGATGTACAGCTTCGCCTGTGGACCTGAACTCTAATTGTCATCCACAGTGGAAATTTTGGCTAATTACTTACCACTCTCCGCCCCCCACCTCCAAAATTTAACAAATAGCTCACCACCTTCGAAATCTGCTAAATTTGGGTTAACCATGGTTTGCAAAGAAAAACTGACAGAGGGGAAACCATTCAGGCGATATTACCTCTTTATACGGATATTGGATATTAAACTTGAAAAGACTGACCTTGTACACATTTGGATGTGAGTTCAGTTACCATATGTAAGTCTTTTTGTAAGCTTTTTATCGAACATATACTTCTTTACGGACTTCATTGAATGTTAATTTTCAATATAAATAGCAGTTTCAACCATTCCATTCCGAAACGTAAACACGGAGGTTAGGATGTTAGCCGATCAAGCACATGGTCCAGGGTTTGATCCTCGGCCGACACACACCTGATATCATTGGTTGGCCTGCTAAATTTGGCCTACTGATATCACATGCTGAAAATTTCATAGTTGTACCAAAAATACTGTGTGGAATCAAGCTATAATAATATTTAAAATAATTAAAAAATAATATGCATATAGCATTTCTGAATGTATATAAGTGCTGTCTCCAATCCACGTAAGAATTATCGGATTTTTTTTGCGAAAAAAATGCAACATACCCAAATAAAATCTTTTGGGGCAGTTTCAGGGTTTTTAGGAGCAGTTTGGGTATTTTTCAGGAGAAGATGTTTTGCATTTCTCCAAGATTTTCCGGAATTTCTCCCCCAAATTGCTGCATTTCCATCAAATCATTACATAACGGTGCCCCCATATTACTGCGGAAATTTTTTTTGGGCATATACACTAATTCAAACTTTCTGAATATGTAAGCTGCCCCCTGCACATAGTGAAGACAGCGGATAGGACTTATCCGGCAAAATCTATGAACATACAGCTATGTAAGAAATATTTTGAGTGGAAGACTGACGTCTGCCCACCGTCAGCAGTACCAGGTCGTCTAAGGGGACAAAAGCTAAAGAGTTTTTTACATTTGCCTTACTAAACATTTTAATCATCTTTTTTTAAAAATTTCTATTCTTCATTACTTCGTCTTCTGCTCCGTACATCTTAGTAATTATATGGTAAACAGTTTATACTGTACGAATAAAACTAATTATATTACTAGCAATGGAAAATAATAACAGTTTTATCCAACACCCTTATAGTTGCTGGCAATAAGCTACATGTATTGTGAGATGGTGATTGATAGTACCTGGCTGCCCATACAGTTGAATGTTTTCTTGTATCAGCTTGTCATCATTTGCTTGTGTGTGTGTGTGCGTGTGACATATAAGTCCTGTAGTTAGTTACCATATAAGGTCATTATAATTTACACTGTCCTAATAACGAATAATGATTAACCTGACAGACAGTCAATCTATATTGTCATTAAATGTAACATATGTGAAATTATCAATTCATTGTTACTTCTCATCATGTCTGAACACATGGTCAACTAATCCATGTTGAGTCTTCTTCGTTACCTATCCGAGTTGTGGAATCATCTAGGTAGCTGTCAGGATATTGGTGTCTGAAATTCAGGGAGGAGGGTAGATTAGTCTAGGAGGTTGTGAAGTTACATTCGATGAAATGGCTAGGACACGTTTTACGCATGCCCAGTCATTGACTTCCTCATCAGTCAATGTTAATCGTTATCGGATTTGGCTGGAAAAGAGTTAGGGATAGTTAAGCTAAAACCTGGCATCAATCCATGGAGTATTTGACTATTGGTTTCAGTCTGCCACACAGAGGTGTGGGCTGTTTATTTAGGGTCCTTGGAATCCTAAGTACTATTATTATTTCCTTTAATTCCTAGAGGAACTTAGGACTTCAGCTGCACGTCTCCATTGTGTTCGGTTCTCTGCTAAAGTTTTCACCTGGCTACAGGTCTGCCCACATGCTTTCATCTCCTCTTCACATGACCTCGTCCAAGTCACCCTTGGACGACCAACTCGCCGCTTCCTTTTCGGGTTCCACTCGAGCAATGGCTTGTCTAGTGATGTCACTTGATGGTTTCCTTAGAGTATGGCCAGTCCACCTCCATTTCTTCCTGGAGATTTGTTGCACAGTTGGTTCCTGGTTGGTTCGTTCCCAGAGATCCCTATTACTGATCTTTTCTAGCCGTCATCTGATCTTGAGTATTGAGGGAAGACAACTGTTAATGAAGGTCTGTAGTTTGTTTGAGAAGCTCTTTATGACGCGCCATGTCTCTGATCCGTATAGTCAGTAGCACGGACTTCACATTGGAGTTGGAAATCCAGATCTCATTTTTGATGCTGAGTGCTGTTGACCTCCACACAGACTTGACAGTAATGAAAGCTTGCCTTGCTTTCCCGATCCTTGCTTTGATATCCTCGTCAGTTCCGTCCGACTATAGTTGAAACTCTGCTTCCCAGGTCGGTAGGTAAAGGAGGTTGTTTCTTTCAGGTTCCTCCCATTTATGCTTATGCTAAAGGCTGGTATCTATTGGTGATTTGGCTCAAAATTGTTCTCAATAGCGTAGATATATTCATTCTTCGTGATCTCTCCCGTATCCACTAAATTGTTATGTTTCTTAATGTTATCACTCTGTCTTCTGCTACATTTTTGCTGATTATAGTTTGTTTGAATCTCTTGTTTCATCTCTCTCTCTCTTTCTCTTTTTCTACCATCGCGTGTTACACAGAGTGTGGCAACTGCATGAACTGCAGTTTTGCCTAAAGTTGGGACAGTGTTGGGATTCTGTCAGTTAGTAAAATTCTAATTTGTGGCTATGTAGGCTTAAATCAATAAGCCAAAACTCCAAAACTATATTGCTACTAAAAATGCCTGTAGTTAGTGTATCCATTTCCTGTTTATCTTGTGATGCATTCAACAAGTTTCTTATCACGCCCTAATTCTGCAGATAACTACAACTGTTAACAGTTTTCATATATTCTTTTATAAGTGATATTTAGTCCCAGTAATGATAACTGGTTGAATATTTTATTTCAATTTATTGAAAACGCTGCACAATAAAATGAAATGCATGTTGAGAAACTACAAGTTAAAGCGAGGAATTCTAATCACAATGAATGTCGTAAGTAAAGCACTGGATAGTTGTCCAAAGCACAGTTTCTGAGTAATAATGTATGTGTAAAACTTGGACTCTGTGATAGGAAGTAATTCCATATTATTAGTTTGTTTATTAGATGTATCACACAGTGAGTGAAACAGTATTATTCACTGGATGACGTTTCGAACAAAATTTATTGTTCATAATCATATCAATTATAATCACACGACTTCGAAACTTGAGTTTTATTGTTCTCTTTGTTCTCTCCCATTTGTCGTAGGGGTAGTAGAATTTTCCATTTTTTCTGAAAGAATCATTCCTATTACACGTGTTTGCAGTTGATTCGATAAAGATAGGAAACCTACACGTTCAAACAGATATTTGGACTTCCGATCATCCCATCCTATGTCAGTGAAAATAGGATTGGTGAAATGTTTAAGTAATAGAGCACAAAAACTAAGTAGTACCAAGGAAAATCTAAGACAGGAAGTGAGGCATATAAGAGAAGCTTTGAAACTTAATTAATAATCACCCTGATAAATTAGTCAGAAAGTATGTAGGGAAATGTAAAAATAAAATAAAACCTTAATCAGAATTCTTAACAATGCAGGATTAAAAGTGGCTGACGTTAAAACCACCCACAAACTCAATCAGAAACAAACTTTTTCGGTTAAAGGATCATGCCTGTGGAGCTAATTGAACAAAACAATTTAGTTTATCTAATACCCTGCGTGCAGTGATTGTCACGTCAAATAGATAGTTCAAAGTAGTACAACAGGTGCAGTCATACTAGCCGAGCATGAAAACCTAGCAGCAAAATCTAGATTAGTTGACCCGAATAAGATAAGAAATCTAGAGAATAGTTCAGCTATAGCACCATATGCAATTACACACAACCATACAATAGGGTGGGATAAGATAACAGTTTTAAAATCTAATGTAACAGGATGGAGGGAGAGATTGATAACAGAAACTTTGTTTATCGAATCAGCTGAATGGGAATACGTGTAATAGGAATGATTCCACACATGTCCCAGATAAATGAAAAATTCTATTACTCCTACGACAAATAGGAGAGAAGAAAGAAAACTATAAAACTGAAGTTTCGAAGACGTGTGATTAGAAATGACATGTTCATGAACAATAAATTTTGTTCGAAACGTCATCCAGTAAATAATACTATTTCATTGTGTGATATGTCTAATAAACAAACTAATATGGAATCACAGTTTCTGAGGTCAATTTATAGCACACAGATGAGGGGTAATTTGAAGGCCAATCAAACCTGGTCTCAAAATGATTACATTGCTATTAGCTATCGATAGCGTGGGTTTATGCCTAGCCATCGCGCCTTCTGGAGCACTTATCTGAATTCCGATCATGCTTAAGTGTGTCAGGTTTATCTGACGACCTAGTGGTGGTCATAAACGTTTCTTTAAACATGTTAAGATAGACAAATGGATGTTTCTGCTATTGCAACCAAATATCAAACCAAGTTAGACTCAAAGCTAACTGTTGGTCATCCGGAGAGTGCTGAACATTGCCCGACCGATAGCTGCTACCTTGGTGTGAAGGTCTGTCTGCCTGTCGGTTTTCGACATAGAACTTTGCACCGATGTGCAGCAGTTCAAGTCGCCACACTCCATGTAGCACACAAAACAAGAGAACAAAGTAGGAGAAATGCATATTAGAGACAGTAAACAGAGATATGAGGCAAAAAGAATACTAATATGGAAGAACAATATAGGTTTATTGGAAATTATAAGTCACAAGGAGTAGATGCATCTGCTCCAGCCATTGATAGTGATCACTGAGCCATATCACCAATTGTCTCCAGCCTTCATTGGTTTTTACCGTCCTGACGACCATAGCCAGGAAGCCAGTCTACACCTTCCTACGTGGCTGGCTTAAACTAACTGTTGTGGATTTCATTGACTGGTGCCATGTTTTGGTTTGACCGCCTCTAGCTGTTTTCCAGCCTGACCCTATGTCAGCTAACATTCTCCGTCGAGACTAGGCTTACGTAACACATGTTCTAACCATCTCAGTCGATGTAATTTCACAGCCTCGTCGATTGATTTCCCCTCCCACCTTGCCTAGCACTCGACCGAAGCCTAACCTCAATATTGCTCACCTTATTATACCACTTCAAACGGGAGATAGAACTCAGGCACCTATGATCAAAGACAGCTAGCAAGGCTTTTCATGTCTTCCACTCTCAATGGCCAGGTCTCACTCACAGCCATAAAGGTGGACGGAGCAGACTGATGAGCAGTACACACGCCCTTTGGTCGATAGTCGGATATCACGTCTACGCCAGAGACGGCGTAAACTGGCATATACGAAACTAGCCCTCTGTATCCGTGGTGAGATTTCGTCAGCGATCACCCCGCTAGCTCTGGTTGACGCAACTTCTCAGATAAGTGAAGCGGTCAACGTGGTAGAGCAGGTTGACCGGTCAGAATTGCACATGGCAATAATCCAATGATCTACACTGACTGGAACGAATTTTCTTGTGGGTCCTACGATGCCGAAAACGGTTGTTTGGATAGCGATTAGATTAAAAGTAGTTACCATCATAGTGTAAATTTTTTGCATTATGTTGGGGATCTGTGGCCGAAGTTGTACTACTAGCGAATAAGAATGTGACGAGCAATGTGTTTCCCTTGGAGCATAAGCAAGCCAGCGATGCTGTTTCTTCTCTCTAGAGGAAGTGGGTTAAAAAGGTAGACCCTGAAAATTGTACATCCCAAATTACCTAGCCGGCAATAAGTTCTTCATACGAACACAACTCTGAAAGCTACTTCATTCAGACGGTGTGGTACCAACAGATGTCCCCTGGGTTCTGTGGTTACCAGAGACTAATCCACCTTCTGTTTAAAAAAATCCCAAAAGAAATCAAATTCTACAGAAAGTAATAACCTCCCACACACTTCTGTATACATACAAGACTTTTCTGACCATCATCCAATTGTTTCTCCATCATCATCATCATCCTCTTGCTTTTCCTTGCACTGTTAATGTCTCCAGCTTCTCTTAACTCCACGACTTTTTAGTAATAACCAGAGCGTGACAAAAACTATGCATAGGTGCCATAAAGATGATAGTCAAAGTCACCTTCGTTTTAGGTGAAAATCACTGGGTTTCTGTGTTTTCCTGGCAGCTTCTCGACATCTCTCAGTCCATTCCAGTGAATAGTAAGTATACTGATCAACTCAAAGCAGTGACACAAAATTAAACAGTACTTACTTAAGGAATACGAAACTTAGTGTTCAAAAAGTGTGTGAGATGGAATAAGCAGCTGCATCTGGCAATAGTCAGAAGTTGCTCCCTCACATCTGAGTCACGGGCAACAAGAAGCATAGTATCAATGAGACTCTGTGTGACAGATGTTGTACTGGTTGATCTAACATGACTCCTGAAAAACTGGGGAAAGCATAGTCGAAAACAGTTAATCCGAATCACAGTGATCCACTGCTGGTTGACGGCTCACAAAAGGAAGCAGAGATCTGAGGGGACACCATAAGGCGCCCGGCCAGGAAATCTTGTCCATGATACTTCTTGAGCATGGTGGCTAGGCTGACTGACTGGTTTCAACGTAAACCTTTGCGTCGAATTGCAGCAGTTCGAGTCGCCACAATCCCTCCATGTGTGAGTGAGGCAAAAACGATAGTTATATGGAAGAACAATAGAATTTTATAAGTCACAAAGAGTGAATGCATCTGCGCCAGCCATTGACAACAAAGATATTAAGCCATATCACCAACTGTCTCCAGCCTTCATTGGTTCCCACCGTCCCGACGACCCCAACCAATCAGCCTTACGTAGCTGGCTGACAGGCTTAAGCTAACTGTTGTGGATTTCATTGACTGATTGATGAAGCCATGTTTTGGTTTGACCACCACTAGCTCTCTCTTTTCCACCCTGATCAATCCTATATCAGTCAGCTAACATTGCCTGTTGTCGAAGAAGGCAATGGATGACTAGGGATCCATGCGTAACACATGTCCTAACCATCTCAATCGATTTAACTTCACAACCTCGTCGATTGATTTCTCCTCCCACCTACCTAGCACTCGAACGAAATCTAACCTGAATATTACTCATCTTGCTATACCACTCAACATGGGAGATAGAACGGAGACACTTATGATCAAAGACAGTGAAATTTGGCCATTACTGTGGAATCACTGAGTTTTCAACGTAAATTTTTTTCTCAGAGTTGTAACAATTCAAGTCGCCACACTCCATATAACACCCAAAGGTAGAGAAAAAATTCAAGTAGAAATGTGCAGCTAACAGAAGTATATGGAGAATAATGAGTATTCGATAGATTTGGAAAAGTACAAAGATTGAATACATCTTTACCATCGAGAATGATTTTGACTCACATCAACAGTTTCAAGCCATTGATTCGAGACCATTTAATGTGCCAATCTTTTAATGCATGCAACAATCATCGGTTGCATCTAAAATACTTGCTACTGTTGTGCTTCACATGTATTGTAAAACTTCTGAAAACTAATTTGTTAAGAACAGTCTGGGTTTCACTCAGGTCATTGCTGCATCGATCACTTTATGGTTTACCCTTTATGGGTTGTTAAAGCTCTGTCACGTGTTTTGCAGGCTAATAGTCATTGTGCTTCTTGATATTTGGTCTGTTTTTGATTTGTTGAACAGTGCTGTTCTTCAGGACTACACCGACTCCTAGCTTAGAAATAGGAAGTGAATTGGTAGAACACGTTGACCGCTTCACTTATTTGGGAAGTTGCATCAGCCAGTACCAGCGGGTTGATCTCTAACGAAATCTCAGAACGGATACAGACGGCTAGTTTCGCATATGCCAGTTTACGCCGTCTCTGGCGTAGACGTGATATCCGGCTGGCTATCGACCAAAGGGCGGGTGTACTGCTCATCAGTCTGCTCCGTCCTCCTTTATGGCTGTGAGTGAGACCTGGCCATTGAGAGTGGAAGACATGAAAAGGCCGGCTAGCTGTCTTTGATCATAGGTGCCTGAGTTCTATCTCCCGTGTGAAGTGGTATAATAAGGTGAGCAATATTGAGGTTAGGTGTCGAGTGCTAGGTAAGGAGGGGAAATAAATCAACGAGGCTGTGAAGCTACATCGACTGAGATGGTTGGGACCTGTGTTACGTAAGCCTAGTCGTCGCCTTCCTCGACGGGGAATGTTAGCTGACATAGGGTCAGGCTGGAAAACAGCTAGAGGCGGTCAAACCAAAACATGGCACCAGTCAATGAAATTCACAACAGTTAGTTTAAGCCAGCCACGTAGGAAGGGCTTCTTGCCTATGGTCTTCAGGACGGTAAAAACCAATGAAGGCTGGAGACAGTTGGTGATATGGCTCAAAATCCGTGTTGTCAATGGCTGGAGCAGATGCATCCACTCTTTGTGACTTATAATTTCCAATGAAACTATATTGTTCTTCGATATTACTATTCCTTTTGTCTCATGTCTCTGTTTACTGTCTCTACTTTGCATTTCTTTTTACTTTCTTCTCTTGCTTTGAGTGCTACGTGGATGGAGTGTGGCAACTTGAACTGGTGCACATCTGTGCAAAGTTCTATGTCGAAAACAGACAGACAGACAGACAGAACTATCTGTTACGGATTAACATGTTCTTGAAAAATTTATCAACTTCATGAAAACGCCACATAAAAAATTCTTAAGTAGGCTTAAGGTTTGCAAACAGCTGTCATTCCCTTTCTTAACTAGCAGTAGGGTTAGCTAGGGTTGCCCAGTCCGACTATTTTTTTCTTATTTTGCTATCCATAACATTCTGGAGATAGATGTGATGTGAACGGTGCTAGTTCAGGTCTACTGCCTGGAGAAAGACTTTTCGACCTTGAGTATACAAATGACATTGTTTTACTGTGTAATAATGCACCTGCTGCTGTAATCTCACTTAGTGAATTGAAAATTAATATGTATGAGTATAATATATGCTGTGTTCCGTCCAAATGAAAGGTACCTCAATAAGATTGGCAGAAACTTGTACTTGCATTCACCCTTGCAAATTGTTAACCTGTCAGAAGTAGTCGACATGTTGATGTATCTTGATAATCATGTGAATACTGGCATATTGAATGCCAGACTGGAATATGTATGAGCCACTACTGGTCTGTCTGTCTGTCTGTTTTCGACATAGAACTTTGCACATATGTGCAGCAGTTCAATTCGCCACACTCTATCCACGTAGCACTCAAAGCAAGAGAAGAAAGTAAAAAGAAATGCATAGTAGAGACAGTAAACAGAGGTGTGAGACAAAGGAATAGTAATAACGAAGAACAAAACAGTTTCATTGGAAATCATAAGTCACAAGGAGTGGATGCATCTGCGCCTGCCATTGAGAACGATTTTGAGCCATATCACCGATTGTCTCCAGCCTTCATTGGTTTTTACCGTCCCGAGGACCCCAACCAGGAAGTCTACACCTTCCTACGTGACTTGAACTAACTGTTGTGGATTTCATTGACCGGTGCCATGTTTTGGTGCCACCACTGGTACTATCACGACTTGATTCCAGCAGTTAGCCCTCGGATTTAAAGCACCTCTCTTTGTGAGCTTAGTCTTATCCGACACTTGTGAAACCTGATCTATCTTTTAAACTAAAATATAGTAATTCTTAAAAAAAAATTTATATACTTTTTCTACTTTCAAACATAAATAGATTCCTTGCGCTATAAAATGCTATCTTCAAGTAATCCTGATGAAGAAAATTGTCGTATATGCAATATAAGTATGAAAAATTGGAATGTGGAACGAAGAAAACTTCATAAAAATTCATGTTGTGAAACAGCAGTAAGTCAGTATTTTTTAAATTATACTCTTTATTACCTTAATTACTGAGTGGAACAAAGGCCTTCAGACGCAAGACTCATTATTCAACTATGTCTTCTGTAATTCTTCTTAGTTGACTCCACAAATACCCATAGACTGTCATTTCCTCGTCACATGATCTCCTCCATGTCACCCTCGGACGGTTAATTTGTCAGCCACTTCCAAATTCAGGTTCCACTCGAGGATCTGCACATTGCATGTGATGTGCATCAGCCTTTAATATGCTTTTAAGCATTCATATCTCATGCTGTGGATATACTCTTAGTTTGTCTACCATCCGAAGTTCAGTTTCCTTGTGCAAAGCTTTTAGATGTCCATGTTAAACGTTATCTTTACTACATTTTGACAAGAAAATGTAGTTGAAGTGTTGTTCTTCATGAGTATTTATGGAAGGAGTTATTCCTGGTATATTATACTACTGGTTAGTATGAGTAATTCAGTGGTCAGGGTTCGATTCCTGGTCGACTGACTCCTAAATCTCACCTAGTTTACTAGCCTGAAAAAGAAGGAAGGTTCAGCGTGAGACTAGCAGCTCCATTCCGTAAAAACAACATTATCACTACTACAAAGAGCTCCGTCACGTGTTTTGCAGGCTAATAGTCATTATATTTCTCGATATATGGTCTGTTTTCGATTCGTTGAACAGTGCTGTTCTTCAGAACTATCTGTAAATCCTTCCAAATGTCAGACTGTTAATTTCAGTTTCCGATGTAAACGAAAGTTAAATGAAACCGTCGGTTCCTATGACCCTTGCCAAATTGATGATACTGATATAGAAACCAAGTCTGAAGTTAAGTATCTTGGATCAATTCTCTCTTCTGACTTATTCTGGTCTTCCCATGTCTTAGCGATTTCTAAAAAAATATTTCGTTTGACTTTTTACATTAAGAAGTTGAGGCATTCAGACATAACCCAACCCCTCCTCCTGTTACAGTTTGTCAACTCTAGCATCTTACCTATTCTTCTTTACTGTTCACCCTTATTCTTTCCTGGATTGCTTAAAAAGACTATGTCATACTTCATAGAACTCTGAAAACTGTCAGTCAGTAGAGCGAGTGGTATCCCATTGGGCCATATCGTTGACATCGTCATTGATAGGCACTTGATTTCATGCAACAAATTTGCTAAGGGAATTTTGTCAGACTGTGAGCATCCAACACAGCACCCGCAGCTCCAACCTTGTGTCTCCTCAGGTAAAACAAGAAGTCATTTCATCAGAAGACTTTATGCACCTACGTCTAAGTATAAAAATTCCATTATACCATATTTGGTACGTACTTTATGTGATGAAAATAGTGTTAGGCATAAACTAATTAACCTTCTTTGCACTAGTAAATAAACCATTTCCTCCACCCTTACAACATCAACCTTTATTGTTATTGTACTTCTTATATTTATAATCCTCTCAATTTTTTGTTTTTGTTTATTTTTTTCACAAGTGTGAACATCATTTAGGCTGTGTTATGACTGTTACGTTGAAAGCAGTTACTCAGTCAGTCAGTCAGAACGTAGAACCTTCAGGTTACGACTACAGGACAAAGTTGCCTAGAGTTCTAGTGAGAAGTAATGACTAGCAGGTTTCACCTGGTTAGGTGTGGGGACAAATACTCCCCCATAACATTATGCTGGTGGTGGTGGTGGCGCTATAAATGACAATTCGACGAAAGTTAGAATTGATGGGTCATTGGGTTCCTTTCGTCCAGTAGCTGAATGGGCAACGATATCGCCTGGTAACCTAAATGTCCTAGTTCTGATTCCCGCTAGAGTCATGGGTGTGTACTGCTGAAGAGTTCCAGACTAGTTCGAAACAGATGTCCAGTATTCTCTGCTGATTTTCAATGGTTCTCTATCTAATATCAATCCTCAATCAAACTTGCAATATGTGAAAAGCTCTACTCATATAAAGTCTAAAGTACACATAGTGTAATAAAAGTATGATTTCAATTTTATTTATTGATTTATTCTTCTCCCCCCCCTCAACTATTAGATGATGTACTGTCATCGTTGTCCTGCATGTCATAAAGAAATTGAAAGTCGAGTAAGTTCTATGTAGTATTCGATAATAATAATAATATTGATTTTTATATTCACTAAGTATTATTATTATTATTGTCATGCCTTTGTTTCGACTTTCAAGTTTATGCATACTCATTGTCCAAAGCTGAATATGCTTTATTTAGAATACATGTAAGCCTACTTCTTCAGTTAGATGTGAAGCAATTCGTGAAGTCAGTGCTAATATACGGATCAGAGACTTGGCGCGTCATAAAGAACATCTCAAACAAACTACAGACCTTCATTAACAGTTGTCTTCGCTCAATACTCAAGATCTGATGGTAGGCCAGAAAAGATCAGCAACAGAGAGGGATCTCTGGGAGCGAACCAACCAGGAACCGATAGTGAAACAAATAGGCAGGAAGAAATGGAGATGGATTGGCCATACTCTGAGGAAACCATCAAGTGACATCACTAGACAAGCCATTGCTCGAGTGGAACCCGAAAAGGAAGCGGCGAGTTGGTCGTCCAAGGGTGACTTGGAGGAGGTCATGTGAAGAGGAGATGAAAACGTGTGGGCAGACCTGGAGCCAGGTGAAGACTCTAGCAGAGAACCGAACGCAATGGAGACGCACGGCTGAAGCTCTATGTTTCTCTAGGAATTAAAGGAAACAATAATAATAATAAGTGGAGAGTGAGGTAATGTTTGCGGTGGCTGTAGGAGGTTATACAACCTGACTTCAAGATTGATTTAGTGACTTTGCACAGAAGTGTTGCAGTTCAATTTGCCACACTTCGTGTACTACAAAAAAGGTGGAGAAATGAAAGGAAACAAGAGATTCAAATAACTTTAGTGGGCAGAAATATGCAGGAGAACAGATATCTACATGGGATAAAATGAGGCTTTATGCGATTTGGGAGATTACATAGAGTGAAGGTATCACCATATTACCAACAGTTTCAAGCTACTGGTTCACAACATCTTGAGGAAACCAACCAGGAGGCAGTCTACACCTCCTATGCGGCTGGCTGACTCACTGACTGGTTTCAACGTAGAACTTTGCACCGATGTGCAGCAGTTCGAGTCGCCACACTCCATGTAGCACACAAAGCAAGAGAAGAAAGTAAAAAGAAATGCAAAATAGAGACAGTATAGTTTTATTGGATATTATAAGTCACAAGGAGTGGATGCATCTGCGCCATTGAGAACGATATTTTGAGCCATATCACCAATTGTCTCCTGCCTTCATTGGAATTTAACGTCCCGACGACCATAGTCAGGAAGCCGGTGTACACGTCCCTACGTGGCTGGCTTAAACTAACTGTTGTGGATTTCATTGACTGATTGATGAAGCCATGTTTTGGTTTGACCACCACTGGCTCTTTTCCAATCTGATCCTATGTCAGCTAACATTGCCTTTTTTCGAGGAAGGCGATGACTAGGGATGAATACGTACCGCAGACTGAGATGGTTAGGAAATGTGTTACGAATGCATCCCTAGCCATCGCCTTCCTTGACAACAGGCAATGTTAGCTGACTGGCATAGGATTGATCGGGTTGGAAAAGAGAGAGCTAGTGGTGGTCAAACGAAAACATGGCTTCATCAATCAGTCAATGAAATCCATAACAGTTAGTTTAAGCCACCAGCGCCACGTAGGAAGGTGTAGACGTCCTGGTTGGGGACGTTGAAAACCAATGGCTGGAGACAATCGGTGATCTGGCTCAAAATCGTTCTCAATGGCGCAGATGCATCCACTCCTTGTGACTTATAATATCCAATAAAACTATATTGTTCTTCCATATTACTATTCCTTTTGCCTCATATCTCTATTTTGAATCTCTTTTTACTTTCTTTTGTTGCTTTGTATGCTAAGTGAAGTGTGGCGACTCGAACTGCTGTACATCTGTGCAAAATTCTACGTTGAGACCAGTCAGTCAGTTATATAGACAGTCCGGCTAGGTCACGTGCTGCGCATGCCTAACCATCGCCTCCCCAGACGGGCATTACTAGCTGATATAGGTGCAGGTTAAAAGAGAGTAAGTGGTGGCCAAACAAAAACATGGCCTCATCAATCCATGAAATCCTTAACAGTTAAACTGAGTCAGGTAGGGAGATGTAGACTTCCAGGTTGGGGCCCTCGGGACTCTAAGAATCGATGGCTGGAGACAATAGGTGACATGGTTCAAAATCCTCGTTGTCAATGGCTTGCGCAGATGTATTCAGTCTCTGTAATCTTTCATATTCCATTCTATCATTACTCATTCTGTTTCACTCTTATACTTGTCAAAACTCTATTGATTCTCTTCACTCATCTTCTTGTCTACCTTTGTGTGCTATTTGGAACGTGGCAACTCAAACTGCTGCACTTCGGTGCCAAGTTCTATGTTGAATCCGGACAGAGAGACAGATATAGACAGTCCGTCAAATCCTACCATATGAAAGATCTGTGTCCAGGGAAAATTCTGTTGTCTCCCCATTTGCGGATAATTCTCTCACCTTTCAACAAAGATTTCACCAGAGAGATACAGTTGTCTTCAGACAGAGTTTTTTCAAGTAATAGAGTTAGTTTTAAAAAGTCGTATCACTGTTGGTTAACTATTCATAGTTATTATATTTTACGTCACCTGTACACTAGACTGTCTTTCTAAACCCCTCACTTTCTAGGTATCCAGAACACACCTAAAACGATGTGCTTCACGATTGAAAATGGATTTATTCAATTTTATGGCTTTATCATGTCAAGATCAACGTTTTATCAGGTGAATTGGGCGTATGTTTTATTTTTTTCAAAAAGTTATGAAATCACCTATTTACCGTATATATTTTTTTCACTGAATCGCTTGGATTTTGTTTTAAACAGTAAGCAGAGCTGTAGCTTCTTGGGGATCTCATTTGGTCGTATTGATTTCTTGGCTTTCAGTAACTTTTTATGGTCTTCAAGACTTATGTTTTGTCGGAGGGTTGGTGTTCACTGGTAGTTCTATGTCTGTTGATGGTATTTCTGGACAAGCTGTAGGTGGTGGTCGATTCAAGAATACTTCGAAGTGATCAGCCCAGTGTTTCCTCTGTTCTACCTTCTTTGATAACTGGGTGTCCTTCAGTATCTTTTTACTTACCTCATCTGCGCTGGTCTATTCCTGGATAGTGACGTAGTTGTTTGATACAATCTAGTGAGGTCTCTTTTACCTACAACCTGTTCTGCTTCAATTGACAGTGTGTCGTAGATGTGTATTTTGTCTCTTTTAGCACTCTTCTTCACGTCTTTGTTCAGTGAGTTGTAGATTGAAGTCAGCTTCTCCCTTCGTTATCCGTCTTTTCATTGGTTCATCTTCTGTTTTGCCACCCCTTTCTCCTCTATTAACAGCTGATGAGTCCCAAACTAGGACAACGGAAACAGCTAGCTGTCCAGTACTCCCTATGGCTGGTTTTCAATGGTTCTGTAACTGATATCAATCCATGGGCCAACCTGGACCAAATAGGCATCCCTACAAACTAATTCTTGTAAATAATATTAATGCCTTGTTTTAAATAAAATGGGGAGTATTCAGTACCTGGAGGCTTCTGGTAATTTATTCTGCACACGATAGATGGTAACTGAATACTGAATCAATCAGTTTGTATTATACATGCGGTTGGCAATGAGCCACACATCTATTATATGTTATACCTCTGAAACCTCCATAAGTGATACAGGATGTTTAACTATTGTGGATGTGTATAACTGTAGAACCCGGTCAAGAAGTTATCGGTGAAGAATATTTCTTCGTTGACCAATTAATCTTTTGAAATTTATAATGTACGTCTTTAATCAATTAAAATCTCCCATTTGAAACTTTTTTCAAGTTAATAAATATACTACTTATTTATTTGTAAGTATAACTATGCATATATACACATATTTTAGACCTGAAAATGAAGATATTCATACAGCTTGTGCATTATCATTGTCTATGGAAGAGGAAGTGAAGAGAAGAAAATCTGAAGCGATTTTAGGTGAAAAAATTCTGCCTACTGATTTAGGCCCACCGGAACACTTACTTCTGTCAAGGGAAAAACGTGAAAATATATTTGCACAAAAATTGGAATCAATACTTTTAGAGGTAAATAAAGTTATTGTTTTTTTTTCTTTTAGTAGTTTGAATTTGTGATGAAGATGTTGTTTATACTGTCAGTTGACGTCAAATTTTCACACGACTCTAACTGTTGGAATGGTGCGTATACACCACCAAATGTGTATTGTTGATGTTGAATGTAGATTGGTAAGTGTAGGAAGGAAAGGGAGAATAATCCCTGAAATTAGGTGGCGAGGATGACGGGGCGTTTTGCAACTAAGATATCTGTTACTTTGAAGGTTGTGAAGCAACTGGAGTGTTTTTCCGGGTTATAGCTCTGTAACGGTAGAAGACTAGAGAATTTGATATCTCTATTTAGCCAGTTATGCACACCTTATCTTCAAGGCACCATTTGCACAGATCTCCCGTGTTGTGCCTGCTACTTCTAGCCTTCCTTCATGTTGTGTGTGTTTCTTTGTATTCCTTTCACATCGCCCATGTATCTCCACAACGCTTTGTTGGTATTAGATGATTGGAGGCAATCGGCCACAGGAAGCCTTGGGCCTAGGTTTCGTGCTAGTTGGCACTCATCGGCAAGGCATATCTGTAACCTTGAAGGAACTCATGTTCCTTCTGAAATTTGAACCCGCGTCACCCAGTGAGAGCTGCAGTCAGAGACGTTACCACTGAGCTATTCAGGCTCACGATAGACCTCCTTGACTGATAGAATTCAGTCTGCAGCGAAGATAGGACTAGACACATTACACTAGTTACTGACTAGTGTCCAATCAAAAATATGCACAAGGCTGTATCATTTGCTTTATCTGACATCAAATCTATCTCCGTGCTCTTAGATGTTTTATGGCGATGAACGTCTCTGTATGTACTACTGATATATTTTTATCAGTAGCACACGCCACAGTTCCACGCCCTACGTTTCCTCTTTTTTCCGGACTTTGGTTCGGAGACTTAACATACACGTCACTAAAAGCATTTCCGACAGCCTACTTCAGACTTTCATCAACAGCTGCCTTCCCTGGCTTCATACTGAAGATCAGATGGCTAGGTCAGAAAGGATTAGCAACGAGGAGCTCTGGCAACGAACCAACCACAAACCGATCGTCCAACAAATATGCAGAAGGAGATGGAGAGATAGAGTGATTCTTACTTAGCATATTGGACACCACCCCTCTATGTAGCTAATACAAGGATTCAACGGCTTCATGTTTTAGTAAGACAATTCCCTAACTTTTGCTTCTAACCAAATATTTTGTCGGTCAGTACTACTCATCGATGAAGGCTGTGTCTCAGCGTATATATAACATGTATTTCGACAACCTCAATCGATAAAAATTCACAATCTCGTTGGTGTTGATCTGTCTCTCTTGTCTGACGTTTTATGTTTCATTTCGACGCTATTTATCCTCTCTCTTTCCATTAGCATAAACACTTGAATGAAAGGAACTTTTGTCATATGGAAGAACATGAACTAATACGCAGTACACATACTCTCTAACGGATATCGAATCAAACATCTATGATCAAAGACAGCTAGCCAGGTGTTTCACGTCTTCCGGATATGACGTCTACTAGGCCAGACATGGCGTAAGTTGGCAGCCAAATGCCAAACGAGCCTTCTTTATCCATGCTGAGATTTCATCGGCGGTCAATCCGTTGACGGTTAGGTGTCTTCATCACCTCTGTCGTCTCTATATTCACTATTTTCAATACTTCTTCTGCCAACTTAATGGTTTTCGCTTGTAGATCTTCTGGTTGACATTCGCAAAGTTCACATCTTGTAGAGTCTTATCGCCGGTCTAACATATACTCGCCTTCTCACTCCCAACAGTCATTATAAACTCTAGTTTTTCCTCAAGTTACACAGATGGTAGCAGGTTGTTCGAGTTTGACCACGGATTGATATCAATCAGTTAGAGAATCATTGGAAACCAGCAGGGAGTACTGGACAGCTGTTGCATCCTAGTTTTGCGAATCATCAGCATTACCTACCCACTGGGACCCGAATCAGTGGCCAGGCCATGAATGCTAACTTCTACCAATTCTTGATATATTTAGCGCGACCAACAACCAATATCATCGGCGGGAAATCCATCCTCACACACTTGACTGCATATACCTTACTGGTCACGACGTCTCACTAGAACTCCAGGAAACTTCGTCCTGTAGCAAATCACTAACGAACATCAGATTAATTTTCAAGAGTTGATTTGTAAGGATTAGGTTTGTTTTTCGTGTTTGACTACGGATCATCATCACAAACTCGGATAAATTAATATTTCTTTGTAAATCTAATCAGTTTTTATAGTGATAAGTTAACAATATTCATCTCTAATATCGCCACCTTGTAATCTAACTTCTAAATCAGTCAAATCTCTGGAAATTCCGATTTCACTCGTCCTTTTTTTCTCCCTCTCTCTCTATATATATATATATATATATGACAGGTTAAACAAATTGACAAACAATCTATCAAGAGAAATTCCTCTAAACATAGTCACAGAAAAATGAGATCCAATCTTTGGCGTCTAGCTTCAACAGAGCTTAATCTAAATGGTATGTCATCTCTAGTATATTATAAAGATTATATTGTATTATTTATTTTTTGTATCCTGAATGGAATATGAGGTCTCAGTAGCCACATTTCAATTGCACTTGGTTCTCCGCGGTCATCGTCATCTAGCTCTGCAATTACCCGTAATCTTTCACTTCTTTCTTTGTGTCACCCTCGGACAGACACCAAACTCATTTCTAGATTCCTATTTACGTTCCACTCCAAGGGTTTGGAGTGAAATATCACTTGAATTAGAGTATTAGTGTAACAACAGAAAACAAGGGCCAGGCAACAGATCCTTTATTAAGGAAAATCAACACATATTTATAGATTTTAATGTACATTATTGTAGATTATTGTTAGTAGAAAATACAGCCTTTTGATTGGTTGTTTCTCACAGAAAGCTAACCTTGCATCTCTTTGTGGCTGTGTCAGATCATCCATATGCTAACTGTATCCGCCTACGCAAAGCCTTTGTTCTCATTTTCTCACCACCAATATTGGGCACATAAACATTGACGTCAATTACTGTCTACCAACTTTGGCTAGCAGCCAGCTCTCACCACAGTAGTAGAATACAGTGTCATATTGTAACGACAGAAGACAAGAGTCAGGCAACCGATCGTTTATTGAGAAAATCAACAGATATTTATAGATTTTTATGTACATTATTATTCGTTATTATTAGCAGAGAAACAGCGTCTTCTGATTGGTTGTTTTCCTGCTGAAGGTTATTCTGTCATCTCTATGTGGCCATTTCTTTGAAGGTCAGACCATATATCTGCGAATCGTATCCGCCCACGCAAAGTCTGCTGCTGTGATTGGTTGTTGAGTTAGTCTTTGTTCTTGTTCCTCTTTTTCTCATGACCAAGATATGGGAAGTGAACATTGACGTAAATTGCTGTTTACCAATTTTTGCTAGCGGATAGCTCTCACCATAATATTAAACAAGTTCATTTGATATCATACACATATATACATTGATGCAGTATAGATGAACTGAATGATTCTTCGATAATTTCATACAACTTCCCAACTTCCTTTATAAAGTTTTCGTTTCCATTTCATCCTGTTGGTTAATTAAATGCTATCTTTCAGATCTATATCATCGAACAGAGCATAGAATGGCAGTCAAATCTGTCTCCATCTGAACTTCATCGACTTTGAAAAGGCCTTCGACAGACAGCGTTGACCGAGAAGTAATTTGGAAACTACTTCAACACTATGGAATGCCCCAAATCTTTATCAACCTCATTCGACAGTTATATAACAATGCCACGTGTCAGGTGATCCACAATGGAAAACTTAGCGAGGAGTAAGACAAGGCTGCCTGTTATCACCACGATGATATTCTTAATTATGGTGGACTGAATTATGCGGAAGACTGTGCATGGGAGTGAGAAGACATGAATACGTTGCACTGACCGATAAGAAGACTCAGAAGATATCTGGATTTCGCGCGTGCATGATTTATGTTTAGTGTCACACAAACTCGAAGACTTGCAGGCGAAAAGCAACAAACTGGCTGAAGAAGCTGGCAGATGGCGAAGACAGGAATCCAGGTGAACATACAGAAGACGGAGGTGATAAAGATAACCAGCCATCAACAACAACAACAACCAGCAGTAGCGATCACCATCAACGGGAGAGATTTGACTCAGGTTACTTCCTTCACTTATCCAGCCAGGAAGCATGGTTTCAACCACAGGCCAGCGGAACGGATGAAGATGTCAAAGCCAGGCAGAATGGAAAAAAAGCAAGATACACCTTCATCAATCTAAAATCAATTTGGAAATCTTCTGAACTCAGCCAGCATAAAGAACAAGATTCGGGTTTTCAACACCAACGTTAAGTCAGTCATTGCTTCTATATAGGTCAGAAAATTGGCTAGTGTGTCACGAAAAGCATTTTTCAAACGGGCTGCAGATTTTCACCAACAGCCGCCTTCGCTCCATATTGAACACCAAAGTAGCCAAACAAGACGGAGGTTATGAAAATAATCAACCAACAACAGCAGCAGCAACATCCAGTGACAATCACCATCAACGGTAGGGATTTGAAAGAGGTTACTTCATTCACTTATCTAGGGAGCATTGTCTCAACTACAGGCAGTCGGAACGGACGAGGATGTCAAATCGAGAATCGGGAAGGTGAGAAACACATTCATCAACCTGAAACCAATCTGGAAATCCTCGTCACTCAGCATCAACAACAAAATTCGGATTTTCAATACAAACGTCAAGTCACTTCATCTATACGGATCAGAAACTTGGCCAGTGTGTCACAAAGAATATTTTGAACAGCCTGTTGCAGACCTTTATCAACAACTGTCTTCGTTCTATACTGAAGATCAGGTGGCCGGAAAGAATCACCAACAAGAAACTATGAGAACAAACGAAACAAGAACCAATCGCCTAAGAAATATGCAGGAGAAAATGGAGATGGATTGGACACTTGCTGAGGAGGCTGCTGGGTGACATCGCGAGTCAGGCCAACGCTCGAGTGGAACCCGAAAGGGAAGCGGTGATTGGGACGTCCAAGGGTGACATGGAGGAGTTGAAACAGTATGGACTAACATGGATGCAAGTGAAAAGTACAGCAGAAGACAGAAGCAAGTGGAGACGTGCAGTTGAAGCCCTATGTTCCACTAGGAAGCCAAGGGAACAATAATATAATAATAATACCCCAGCCTCGGTGACTTAGTAGTAGTATCACAGTAAGTATGACTCATAGACCTTTTCCAAGTAACTGAGTTCTAACCAACTGACTTTTTATAAGTTGCATATATTATAATAATAATTATTATTATTATACTTTTCTAATATTATTGCTATTTTATACTTTCAGATGACATCAGACAGTTATACTATGTTAATCAGTTAGTCCCGCCATTAAGTCCTAAAATTGGGAATTTAGGCTCAGAGATAATTTCAATGTCACAAATCCCTGGACGTGTTTCAATACATGCGACACATAAATGTGAATCTAATGCTGATGATGATATTAGCAATGATAATACTAATGAATGTGAAAATATCATCACTTGTGTTAAGGATGTAAAGAAGGTAAGTAGCGGTTTATATATTTTACCTTTTTGGGTGTAATTAGCATTTCTGTTTGACCGATTGATCAATCCTGTTGAACACTGATGCTGCCGCGGAGTGAACTGCTCCGACTTCTAGCTAAAAGGATAGGAAGTGAATTCTAGTGCTTGTTGATCACTTCACTTGGGAGTGATCTCTGACAAAGTCTCAGCATGGATACGAAGGGCTCATGTGACATTTGCTAACCTATGTCATCTGTTGGCGTAGATGTGAAGTGTGCAGCGATTTGCTCTGTCCTTTATAATTGTCAGAGGCGGCTATCGAAAGTGGAAGATATGAAAAGATACAGCTGTGTTGATCACAGATGTCAGCGTATTAACTCCCGTATTAAGTGGTATAATATGGTGGGCAATACTGAGATTAGGCGGTATTGTGTTAGGTAAGAAGGATAAGTCACTCGATGAGGCTGTGAAATTAAATCGATTGACATGGATTGATTACTTGTTGCTGATGCCGAGCTATCCCCTTCCTCGACGGGCGTTGTTAGCTGACAAAGGATAAGTTTGGAAAAGAGTTAGGGTTGATCGAATCAAAACCTGGCGTCAATCTTTGAAGTGTTAAACAGTGGGGACTGACTGACTGACTGACTGGTTTCAACGTAGAACTTTGCACAGGTGTGCAGCAGTTCGAGTTGTCTCACTCCCTCCACGTAGCACACAAAGCAAAAGAAGAAAGTATAAAGATATGCAAAATAGAGGTATGAGGCAAAAAGAATAGTAATATGGAAGAAGAATAGAGTTTTACTGGGTATTATAAGTTACAAGGAGTGAATGCACCTGCACCAGCCATTGATAACAAGGATTTTGAGCTATATCACCACACATGGTCTCCAGTCTTCATTGCTTCTTACCATCCCGAGGACCCCAACTAGTCAACCAGCCAGTCTACACCTGCCTACGTGACTGGCTGGCTGGCTTAAACTAACTGTTATGGATTTCATTGACGGATTGATGAAGCCATGTTTTGGTTTGACCACCACTAGCTCTCTCTTTTCCAGCCCGATCAATTCTATGTCAGTCATCTGACACTGCCTGTTGTCGAGGAAGGCGATGGCTGGGCTAGGCATGCGCAACCCATGTCCTAACCATCTCAATCGGTGTAATTTCACAACCTCGTCGATTGAGTTTCACTCAACGCCTATTCTCAATATTGCTAACCCTATTAGGCAACTTAATATGGGAGATAGAACGCAGACACCTTTGATCAAAGACAACTAGCCAGGTGTTTCATTTCTTCCACTTTTAATGGCTTTGTCTCACTTACAGAGATAAATGAGGAGGTAGCGAACTGCTGAACAGTACACACACGTCCTTTAATCGATAGGCAGCCGGTTATTACGTCTACCAGGTCAGAGATTGCGTAAGTTGGCAGGGAAATGCCAAACGAGCCTCCTGTATTCGTGTCGATATTTCATCAGCGATAAACCCATTGGCGTTGCCTGATGCGACTTCCCAAATAAGTGAAGTGGTCAACACGCTCCATCAACCACTTCACTCCTGCATATCTTTTAGCTAGGAATGAGCCGTTGTAGTTCAGTTCTGTGGGCACTAGCGAATCGCCACGTAGTGAAGTGTGGGATGTTTGGCTGGAGTCCTCGAAAAGCAGTCTCAGGAGCACAGAAGCATTCATTCACGCTTTCCACTCTCCTAGTTCCATTTAATTTTGATTATTCTGCATGAAATTATTCCATCTTTCGTATATTTCTGTATACTCGGTCGGTCGGTCGGTCGGTCCGTTTTCGACATAGAACTTTGCACATATGTGCGGCAGTTCAAGTCGCCACACTCCATGTAGCGCACAAAGCAAGAGAAGAAGGTAAAAAGAAATGCATAATATAGTCAGCAAACAGAGGTGTGAGACAAAGGAATAGTAATAACGAAGAACCAAAAAGTTTCATTGGAAATCATAAGTCACAAGGAGTGGATGCATCTGCGCCAGCCACTGAGAACGATTTTGAGCCATGTCACCAATTGTCTCCAGCCTTCATTGGTTTTTACCGTCCCGAGGACCCCAACCAGGAAGTATACTATGGTTTCTTTGCATTTCTTTTGTTAGTAAAACTGTTGAAGTTAGTTTGAAAAGAATCTCTACGATGAGGTTGAATATAAATGGTAAAACAATAGTGCTTTCTAACGAATATCAGATAGAAGTGTAGGTCATTGGCTGGCTTAAGCGCTCGATTTAGTGTTAATAGGTTCCCCACCGTCTTACTTCATTCTAAACAACAGGGTAGCTCCAGTGAACCTCAGATATTGTAGATTTCTTCTAAGAATTGCGAAATGATACCGTATCAGTTAAACGTTTGAATCAAACAAACCAGATAGTTGAGTTGTGACTAAAATCCAGAACAGATATGAGTGAGTAATGAACTTCACGTCGTGGTGTATCTTGAGGTACTTGCACAATGTCATAAAGATAACAGGAAAGAGCTGTTTCAGAAGTGCTCTTTGATCAAAAATAAAAGCACATAAATGTTGAGACCAAGGTAATTGGATTATCAACTTCAAGACGCAGCATAATATTATAAATATATAAATGTTTCTACGAAAATGAATTATTAGGTCTACAAAATACCAAAATATAAACTTATACTACTTATTACTATTAAGTAGGTATGTAAATAAACACAAAGAAAACCGGTAGTAGATCTTTAAAGGTTGTATTATTATTATTATTATCCGAAAAACTTGGTACAATATTGCATCAAGAAGATGCGCCGCCGTACAATAATAATAAGAAAACATAAATTCAAGGTAAGTATATAGATAGAGAATTGATAAATAACTTCATGTGGAAGGAAAACAGTCATATTTAACACGTTCAAATAGCACTCGTCAGTTATCGTCGGAAAGGTAGTAAAGAAGGAACTTGTAGCACATTCACCATTGATTGCCATTCTTGCCCATATCTGATAACGTTCCGAGCCACTGATTTGAGCTACCCATAGGACTCCAAACAGGTAGTCGTGATGCATCAACCGTTGCTAACTTAACACAAATATCATTTATCTTACGACGCCATGTCGTGGGCTGAACACTTATCCACTTTTTCCATCCCGTCCCAGGACTGACGAGCCGGTTTTTCCAGAAGATGAAACTCAATGAATAGTGATCTCCACTGTGTCCGAACACTTGCTGACGGACCTCAGAGTTACTCACACAATGGTACTTTCGAACGCAATCAATTTCAGCGGAGATAGCGATGATCGAATACGTAAGCTTTCGCAGGCGTATAGCAAGATGGCACACATAGAAAAATTGTAAACTCGACCTCTGACATCCAGGCTAACGTTTCGACGGAGCCGGAGGTGGTTCAAGTTGACGTATGCCACATTAGCTTTCACGATACGGTTGAAAATCTAGTCTGTTACATCTCCGCTAGCACTCACACAACTATCCAGATACACAAACTTATCAACAATTTCAAGTCGTTCACCTGCAAGAGTGAGTGCAGGTACGGGCTTCTGCCAATCTTGTAACAGTACTTTGCGCTTAGATGTCACCAAGCACATACCATACTTACAGACACTGATCGCCAAATGATTAAGTATGATTTGGTCAGGTTACATGCTATCGCACAGTAAGACGATATCGTCTGCAAACTCGAGACTGAAATTCTTTCTCCAAGAAGCACCGCTACCACGCACGTCCTTCTGAGCTGACTCCGGAATGCGATCGATGACGCGATGTTAAACAAAAATGGAGAGATTCGGAAGCCCTGTCTAACGTCACTGTTTTTAGAGGTTAGATAAGAAAGGTAATTTACTCTCCCTGTTTTATATTGCAGTTTTCAATATCCGGGATAGGTGTTACTTCATTTGGATTGCACGTGTTCTGTGTTGATTCGATGAACAAAGAATTGACGATTAACTGCTCGCTATATATCTCTCTCCCCACTAAACTAAATAATAATTTTTAGTAATCCTATTGTATCTACCACCCTATCGTGTGATTACATTTTAGTGAATGCACTACAACGGTCGGGCGTTTTTTCAGATTACTTAGTTTGTCAGGGAAATTTATGCTAGTTCAAACTAAATTTCGATGTTTCGATAATCTGATTGACACCAATCTACTAGTTTCACCTATTTAATTAATCACACTCATTTCATCATGATATTTATTAAACCATATTATATTTGCTAATATTGAATCTATTGGGTCGTTAAGCGGGAAACGTTTATCTGTGAGTTACTTTGGAGGGATTAAATGGTATCATAACTAATTTTAGCCTTTATTAAGAATCCGATGAAGGGTCTCTGATGTTCCTTCTTGACATGGAAGTTCTATCGAAGCTTTGAATCCTTTATTAATTACATTACTATTCGAAATTTTTCTCAAAGGTCTTCATACACATTTTTGAATGAAATCTAGTGGACAGTTTTCCACGATTTTTGTTTGAATTGTGTTTATAAATGTTAACTGTAAAGTAATACAATTTGCCCACACTTTCCACATCATTTCTAGTTGTTTACTACTCACCTGTATTGCTCATTATGATATGCAGTCCGTCTGAAATCTTTGTCAATATCTGTCTTGTGACCGCCATCTTTTCTGTTTCATTTCGTTGTATTCTAGGAAGATGAACAGATATCATCAGATGGATGTAATAATAAATCTCTTGATGAACCTAAACAGTGTACAAAAGAATATTCTGTATCATTGGATAATTTATCGTCTGATAATAATAAAGTAAGTCTTCTAGTGTTATTGTTATTATTATTATTATTTTCAGCCGCATGTCTCCATTGCGTTCGGTTCTCTGCCAACGTTTTCACCTGGCTCCACGTCTGCCCACATGCTTTCATCTCCTCTTCACATGACCTCCTCCATGTCACCCCACCCTCGCATTGACGACCAACTCGCCGCTTCCCATTCGGGTTCCACTCGAGCAATGGCCTGGCGTGTGATGTCAGTCACTTGATGGTTTGTTTTCTCACAGTATGGCCAATCCAATCCACCTCCATTTCTTCCTGCATATTTGTTGCACAATTGGTTCCTGCTGGGTTGGTTCGTTCATTGCCAGAGATCCCTCCCTGTTGCTGATCTTTTCTGGCCGACCATCTGATCTTGAGTAGTATTGAGCGAAGACAGCTGTTGATGTGTAGTTTGTTCGAAGTGGCCTTCGTGACGTGCTGACCAAGTCTCTGATCCGTATAGTAAGTAGCACTGACTTCACATTGGAGTTGAAAATCCGGATCTTATTTTCATTTTCATGCTGAGTGCTGTTGACCTCCACACAGACTTGAGAGAAATGAAAGCTTGCCTTGCTTTCCCGATCCTCGTTTTGATATCCTCATCAGTTCCGTCCGCCTATAGTTGAAACGATGCTTCCCAGGTAGGTAAAGGAGGCTGCTTCTTTCAGATTTCTCCCATTTATGCTGATTGTTGCCTGTCGTTGTTGTTGCTGTTGGCCAGGAATCTTCATCACCCCTGTTTTCTCTATGTTCACCTGAAGGCCTATCTTCTCTGGATGCTTCTTCTGCCAACTTGTTGCTTTTCACTTGCATATCTTCCAGTTTGTGGGAAATCAGACATATGTTATCGGCGAAGTCCAGATACTCCAAGTTTTTTGTGTGGGTCCATTTTATGCCTGTCTCCTCGTTGCCTGCTGTCTGTCACATTATCCAGTCTACCGCAATCAGGAAAATCATTGGAGTTAGTAGGCAACCAGCTGGCCTTGTCTTACTCCCGTCTTAACTTCTTCGGAGGATTCCGTGAGTTTCCCATTGTGTATTACTTGGCATGCAGCATTGTCGTACAGCTGTTGGATGAGATGTATAATTGTTGGTGGCACCTCTTAGTAGCGAAGTAGTTTCCAAATCACCTGTCGATCGACGCTGTCAGCTGAAGGCCTTTTCAAAGTCGATGAAGTTGAGTGAGGTAGGGAGATGACTGCCATTCCAAGCTCTGTTCAATGATGATCTGTACTGTTGCGATTTGATCGATGCATGACTTGTTCCTCTTGAATCCAGCCTGTTCCGATCGAAGTTTTTCATCCAGTATGTTGGTCTACAAGAATTTGGTGAGTTTTAAGTGTGATCACAGATTGGCGACCTCTGTTACAGAATCACATTCATAACATGCAGGAAACACTGGATAGCAGTTTCATCCTATCCAGCAGTTACAATTCATGAAATCGAACCCGGTAGGAATTATGAATGCGCCTACCGCTGAAGTGTCTCAGATTAGTCCCTAGTTTCCAATTGTTCTCTGATGCCTGAGACCATTTCGCGATCAAACTTGAAATAAATAACAGGACTTGTTATCGAACTTGGTGGACTGTTTCGTTCTAACTTTTGTGTCAACCTTTATCCCCACATCCAATGTGTTGTAAATTAGACTCTTATTGTTTGCCCATTTGATACGTACGGTAGAGTAGCTATTTCTAATGTATTTGGGTATGTGAATCATCCTTACTTCGTGTTATCTTTAATATTGACGAGAGCTTTATTTATGTGTATATGATCGAGGATACGCGTTTCGTCCTCTTTTGAACTCTTCAACCGTGATATACTTGTATACTCTTTGAGGGATGGTGTTCCATACCTACCTCTAAACCTAAAAGGCTTGTCCAATGGACCGTAAAATCTACCTCATATCCAATGGGTATCATTTGTTCTTTTATTTATTTATTATTAATTTTTCCTCTTTTTAATCGATTTTGATTGCACCGAAATATTCGTTTTCTGTTGATATGTGTCAACTCTTTGTTGGGATTCTTCAACGAGGTATCCCTGTTTGCATGTGAATCATCTTTATTATTTCTGTTCTTCCATGTGTGTTTTTTTTTGTGTGTATATATGCGCATTCCTTCACTTCTTGTTGATTGGCCATTAAGAAAGCAACCACTGTCATATTTCATATACATTGTGTTCCCTTTTATGCTAACTGAATGATAGCAATGAAGTGGTGCACTGTACTATGAAGTATTTAAAATGCTTCTACTGCTGTATTTCCATTGAAACAGTATTAATAGTTGATAAATACCATTGGTATTTGTCACATTCTCACCGATGATATTCTTAATTGTGGTGGACTGGATTATGCGTAAAACTGTGCACACGGAGTGAGAAGACAGCAATACGTTGGATTTGATCAGTAAGAGGACTCGAGAAGTCCTGGATTTCATGTGTGGATGATTTATGTTTAGTGTCACACAAAATTGGACACTTACAGCCAAAGACCAAAAAAACTAGCTGAAGACACTGGCTGGCAGCCAAGACAGAACTCCAGGTGAACATAGAGAAGACGGAGGTGATGAAGATGACCAACCAACTGCAACAGCAACAACAATAACCAGCACCAATTACCATCAACAGGAGAGATGTGAAAGAGGTTACTTCCTTCACTTATCTAGCTATGCAGCATCGTTTCACCTACAGGTCAGCGGAACGGATGAAGATTTCGAAGCCAGACAACCAGAATCGGGAAGACAATATACGCCTTCATCAACCTGAAACCAGTTTGGAAATCTCCTGCACACTGAAGCCTAAAGAATAAGATCCGGATTCTGTTCAACACAAAATGTGAAGTCAGTCAGTTCTATACGGGTGAGAAACTTGCAATGAGTGTCACGAAAAGCATTTCCAACAAGTTATAGGCATTTATCAATAGCTGCCACCTTCGCTAGCTCGATCCATACTGAAAATAAAATGGGCGACCAGCCAGAAAGAATTAACACCAAGGAACTCTGGCTGGGAACAAACCAACCAAGAGCCGATTGCTCAACAAAGCCATATGCAGGAGAAAATGGAGATGGATAGAAACGGCATACGTTGAGGAGTACGTTGAATGACATCGCGCTGATTGCCGGTCATCGCTCCAGTGGAGTCCGAATAGGAAGCGACAAGTTGGTCGTCAGTGCAAGGGTGACATGGAGGAGATCGTGTGGCCAGGAGAGATTATGGGCAATTGTGGACTTAGGTGAAGAGGAGGCAGAAAATAGAACAAAGTGGGGATGTGTTGTTGAAGGCCTATTGTGACGAGTGCTACTGATAAGATTTATCAGTAGTATATGAAGAGACGTTCATCGGCATAAAAACAACATCAAATAGCAGGGAGATACATTTGATTTCAGAGAAGGCGTGAGTAAAAGGAACACAAAGAAACACACACAATATGAAGGAAGGCTAGAAGTAGCACAACACGATGATCTGTGCAAATGATGCGTTGAAGATAAGGTGTACATAATTTGGCTATGTAGACATACTAAATTGCATATAAACATTCCTTTAGCAAGTCTCTCGTCTTCTACCGTTTCACTGTGTTCCCCTGGGAATACAAGGGAATAATAATAATAATAATTTGTTACATCCGTAAGCTTGAATCCAAGCGACTCTTATAATTTATGTATTGCTGAGTACTGTTGTGATGTATAAAGCTCTCAAATGATGAGAAACAATCTGATTAACTCTAAAGTGTTCATCTTATGCCATCTGGTAATGTACGATTCCAGATACCTCCGTCACCTTTTAATCCAAGATTATGAGAGATTGGTCCCTTCTCAACTTTATCAAATGTTGCCTTTTTTATATTTGGTATTCTCTTGTGTTTATCAATAAACCTTTGGCAGTGCTCATTATCTTTCCGTATCGTTTATCTTGTGATTTAGAAAGATGAACGAATATCATCAAGTGGATGCAATAATATCTCCCTTGAAAGTAAACCCTGTACAATAGAGCATTCTGTCATATCAGATAATTTATCGTCTGTAAATAGTAAAGTAAGTTGTTATTTATATTAATATTAATATTATTCCCTTGGGTTCCGAGTGTGCGAAATAGAGCTTTATTTACCAGTACATATCTCCATTTCATCCTATTTGTCACAGTTCTATGCGGCTAGCTTCATGTATTATTATTGTTCCCTTAGGTTCCTAGTGGAACATAGGGCTTCAACTAGACGTCTCCACTTGCTTCTGTCTTCTGCCGTACTTTTCACTTGCATTCATGTTAGTCCCTACTGTTTCAGCTCCTCTTCACACGATCTCCTCCATGTCACCCTTGCACCGACGTCTCACTCGCCACTTCCCTTTCGGGTTCCAATCGAGCGTTGGTCTGACGCGCGATGTCACCCAGCGGTCTCCTCAGCGAGTGTCCAATCCATCTCCACTTTCTCCTGCATATTTGTTGGGTGATTGGTTCTTGTTTTGTTTGTTCCCATAGTTTCTTGTTTGTGATTCTTTCCGGCCATCTGATCTTCAGTATAGAACGAAGACAGTTGTTGTTGATAAAGGTCTGCAACAGGCTGTTGGAAATATTCTTTGTGACCCACCAAGTTTCTGATCCGTATAGAAGAACTGACTGACTTGACGTTTGTATTGGAAATCCGAATTTTGTTGTTGATGCTGAGTGACAGTGGAAGATTTCCAGATTGGTTTCAGGTTGATGAATGTGTTTCTCACCTTCCCGATTCTCGATTTGACATCCTCGTCCGTTCCTCCTGTAGTTGAGACAATGCTTCCTAGATAAGTGAATGAAGTAACCTCTTTCAAATCCCTCCCGTTGATGGTTATTGGCGCTGGATGTTGCTGCTGTTGTTGTTGTTGGTTGGTTATTTTCATAACCTCCGTCTTGTTTATATTCACCTGGAGTCCTGTCTTTGCTGCTTCTTCGACCAGTTTGTCGGTTTTCGCGTCAGTCACGATGACTGACCATCAACTCTCATCTCTTCCCCACACAATCCCCTTTGTATCATCCACATGCCGACGTCCAATTCCTCCTTTAAGATTCGGGTTCAACTCCAACGCCTGCTTGCCTATCTGCTGCGGAGTGTAATGTCAATCAATAGTCTCCTCAGCTTGCTTGTCTATATCCATCTCACGAGATCTTGATGGAAGAAAGATAGAAGGAACATATATATGCAGGATAATACGAGATCGTTTTATTTCCTGAATTCTCTTCAAACTGCTGCCTACAATATTCCTAAACAAAATCAATTATAAGCTACAAAATTTCATGACCATACTTTTGTTCACAATGACTTTTTCGAGTTATAGATAGAAAGTATGTGTAGGCAGCATAATTCCAAAGATGATGTGAGCAGATGAAATTATTCAGTAAGAACACAATATTCAGCGAAGAGACTTTTCAACGAATTTATTATCAAGCTGTACAATCGTATATACATGGATTGGTCTTAAGAAATTATATCCGGTGAAGGGAATTAGGTCAAAGGTGTGAATACATGAAATAATAATAGTGGTAGTATGAAATGCAATTAAAATATTTGTGATTATAATCATAGTTTAATGTCAAGTGGCAAAATAATTAATGTCATATATAGAATAATACATAAGGTGTATAGATGTTGGAAAGGGATGCATAATTATAGGATTAGTAGGCGAATATAAAATGTTACATAATATGGTGTGAAATTTGATAAGATAGAATTCAATATTGTAAAAGTAAAAAATAAATAATTTTGGGTTTAGAATGACAAGTGGGACAAGCGGAAACAATTCAGAGTGAGAATAATAATAATAATCGCAGTAATAAGGGAAAGGTACATAGAATAACTAAATAAACAAAATAAATGTCTATCTCTCTACGGCCAAGGCAGAAGTAGGGATTGTACATACTTCTTTTGTACACAAAGGTCTGGCTTAAAGTGATGAATTGCCAAGGCCTCAGCTGTCTTTAGAAGTCTGTAACGAAGAAAACGCGGGAAGTTAGCATGGATTCTATATATGATCTTAAAATCATGGTCAGGGTTGACAGAGTGACAGAAGTCGATCAGGTGTTCCAGAATAGAGCTTCGCACACACTTCCTTTCTCCCTTGTAAAACCATGCAGCTGGAATATATTCTCGTATCTGTGTGGAAAGCGTCCTCTGACTACGGCCAATGTACCTTTGTCCACAAGAGCAGGTGAACTGATAGATGCACATAGAGGCGGCCAGACGGGGGGAAGCTTATCTTTTACAGAGGTAGAGAACAACTTGCGGCTAGTGAATGTCATATTTAATTTTGCTGCAAAGAACGTCTTACTGACTGCTTTAGAGAGGCGATTTTTGAGCATATCTAAAGCTTGATCACCTTTGATTTCCAAGTTCATGAATAAGGTTTTCTTTGGAACTGAGTCGGTGACCAGTTTAGACTGCTTATCTTTCATGTTGCTGTCAGTAAATCGGTTAGTGTTAAAAAAGAGCATATCAAAAGTAAACAGATACGATAGACAATGTCCAACATAGAACGAAGCACTATGAAATGAATTACGCCAGACAAAATCGAATGTTTACACAATAAGTGGTCAAGCGTAGAATAATGGGGACAATTATTAGAAGATGACTGTCAAAATGGGGGATATAAATGGGACAATGTGTATGAAGAGGCAGAGAATGAGGAGGCTGCAGAGATAGGAGGAGGTGGAGGAGGAGAATTTGGAAGAAAGGAACAATGTATATGGCCAAGAAGAATGTATATGTAGTATTGTAACAACAGAAGACAAGGGCCAGGCAACAGATCCTTTATTGAGAAAATCAAGGCACATTTATATATTTATATGTACATTATTATTCGTTATTACTAGCAGAGAAACAGCGTCTTCTGGTGGGTTGTTTTTCTACTGAAGGTTATTCTGTCATCTCTTTGTGGCCGTTTCTTAGGCAGTCTGTTGATATATCTGCTAATCATATCTGCCCACGATAAGTCTTCTGTGATTAGTTGTTGAGCTAGTCTTTGTTCTTTTCTCATGGCCAAGATTTGGGACGTAAACACTGACGTAAATTGTTGTCTACAATTTTGGCTTGCAGATAGCTCTCACCACAGTATTATTATCACCATAATTCCCCTTGGATTCCGAGTGTGGGACATAGACCTTTATTAACAGTACATATCTCTATCTCATCCCATTCTCCTCAGTCCTTTTTGGTGGGTTCGACGATTGTCCATGAACTTTCATTTCCTCCTGACACGATTTCCTTCATGCCGTCTAACTCGCTGTTTTTATCCATTTGGGTTCCACTCGACGACGGCTTCGGCCCATGATGTCACTCAATGGTTTCCTAAGGGTGTTTTCTCTCTTTTTTTAAAGTAACTATGAGTACTTAATACTTAACTAGTTTTCAAACTTCAGTTGACGATGATAACGCCTATTGGAGAGTTGTTACGTTTCGATGATTTTCACTGTCACGGTCTTTAGCCACTTGTGCGTGTTGTCCAGTGTTAGACTCATGTTTTTTTTACCGATTGATATGTTCAGTATTAGCCATTCTTACATGGCATCAGTCCATGAAATTCGTAAGAGTTAGTTTAAGCCAGTCACGTGGGAAGGTATAGACTACCTGGTTGAGGTCCTCCGGATGTTAAGAACCAATGAAAGCTGATGACAATTAGTGATATGGCTCGAAATCTTCGTTGTCAATGGCTGGCGCAGATGCATTCACTCTCTGTGACTGGGCATATTACTATCCTTTCTGCCTCACATATCTGCCTACTATTTTTTTATTTTTCCTATATCTCTTTTTTCTCTTTCTTTGTGGGTAACATGGAGTTGGGCAACTCGAACTGCTGCACTTTTGTGCAGGGCTCTATGCTGAAACCACTCAGTCAGTCAGCCATTGTTATTTCCTTGCGTATTGTAATTCTCGCTGACAACGGCTATTGTGGAATCCAGGATGCACATTTCTTCTTATTTGAGATTCTTAAGTTGGATGCACCTCTATCACCCACCACCAGTAAGCGATGGCCATCTTACTGACAGTGGGGCCCAGAATGCATAGTTCCAAACTCTATAGCATTGTCCACGGCGTTATGAGAAAGAGCTACAATGGGCATCAGTTGTTTAGGCTATATTGTATTTATTATTAATTGATTTTGACGAGATCGAAGTTTTAGGTCTCTAGTAACATGTCACCTGTGGAGATCAACAGTACTGCTCAGCATGAACAATAAGATCTGGATTTTCAACTCCAATGTGAAGTCAGTGCTACTTACTATACGGATCAGAGACTTGGCCAGCGCGTCACGAAGGGTACTTCGAACAAACTACAGACCTTCATCAACAGCTGTCTTCGCTCAATACTACTCAAGATCAGATGATCGGCCAGAAAAGATCAGCAACAGGGAGGGATCTCTGGCAATGGACGAATCAACTCAGCAGGAACCGATTGTGCAACATATATGCAGGAAGAAATGGAGGCGGATTGGATTGGCCATACTGTGAGAAAACAAACCATCAAGTGAGTGACATCCATCACACTCCAGGCCATCGCTTGAGTGGAACCCGAATGGGAAGCGGTGAGTTGGTCATCAGTGCGAAGGTGGGGTGACATAGAGGTGGTGATGTGAAGAGATGAAATAATGTGGGCAGACTTGGAGCCACGTGGAAACTTTGACAGAGAACTGACTGCAATGTAGCCGTGCAGCTGAAGCCCTATGTTCCTATTAGAACTAAAGGAGACAATAATAATTATATGTCACTCTTCAGTTCTTGATTGGCCTCTAGAGACACTGACTAATGTGATATTGCATAACCCTTTGTACTGACTATGTATAAATTATATGCAGTATCTACTTCTGTATAACTGATTACATTGAAGCAGTTTTTAATTGTTGAGGAGTAACTATGATCACTTGGTGCTCCCGTGTGCTTGAATTCTATGAATGGTGAACACTTCTGTGAAGAGTCCTTTGATGAGCAACAACAATGCGATTGTCTCTGAAGTATAGTTTCTTACGTTAGGCATAACGTACGTTCCCTTTTTATTTTACCGAATGTCTTTCATGGTTATCACCAGTGAATCAGAATTCCATTCTTTTGCTTTTATATTACTTGATGTTATTTTACACGTAGAAACACCATTGACATCAGTTTCTGTAGATATTTCATTATAATTTTTGAACTACCCATAATTTGTAAGTAGTATAAATAAACGGCATGAAAATGTTGTTAGTTCATTATTTGAAGTTTGTTGTTCCACTTTAATCTATCCTGGACACCAAGCTATTGGTGGGTCTAGTAGTTCCCCCCCCCCCCACACATACACACATACTTCTTTGAACCTCACTGCTAGTGCAATTGTGCTTATGCAGTGCCATCGTAATCATCATTTCTTCCTCATGATTCTTATAATTTGTCACCCTTGAACTTATATCTAACTCATCGCATTTGTTACTATACCTTTCTATAGAATTCAAATATTGTGTCTCACATCAGTGACTCCCTGACTATTATTATTCTGTCGTGTACTTGTACCACACCTATTGCACTTTCTGATATACAAATCTTATATGCTTTTACTGTCACAATTTGGTTCCAAAATTATATTTATCATTATTATTATTATGATTCCCTTGGGTTCCGAGTTGAACATTGGGCTTCAACAGCACATCTCCACTTTGTTCTATTTCTTGAAATCCTCTTCATCTGTCTAGTTCCACAATTGCCCTTAATTTCTCATCGCCACACGCTCTCCTCCATGTCTCCCTCGCACCGACGACACACTCGTCGTGTCCCATTCGAGTTCCACTTGGATGGTAGCCTGCATTGAGCGTGATGTAATTCGACGGCCTTCTCAATTTATGCCCGATCAATCCATCTCCATTTTCTCCTACATATGGCTTTGTTGAACAATTGGCTCTTGGTTTGTTAAAACGCCAGCCAGAGTTTCTTGTTGTTAATTCTTTCTGGCCGACCGGCTGTTCATTTGGTCTTGAGTATGAAGCCAGCCAGTGAAGGGGGACTGCTGTTGATAAAAGTCAGCTGTAGGCTATTGGAAACCCTTTTCGTAACACACATTAGTGTTGAGGAGAATCCGAATTTTGTTCTCTACGCTGCCTAACTGAGTGCAGAAGATTTGCGAACTGGCTTCAGGTTGGTTGATGAAGGCATATCTTGCCTTTCCGACTCTGGCTGGCTGACTTTGACGTCTTCATCCGTTTCGCCCGCCTGTGGTTAAAATGATACTGCATAGCTAGATAAGTGAAGGAGGTAGCTTCTGTTGAATCTCCCACTGTGATGGTGACTGGTGCTGGTTGTTGTTGCTGTTGGTTGGTTATCTTCATCACCTCCGTCTTCTCTTTGTTCACTTGGAGGCCTGTCTTCACGGACTACCAGCTTCTTCAGTTGCTTCGTTGCTTTTCGCCTGTAAGTCTTCGAGTTTATGTGACTGACTAAAATTACAGGATCCATAATTATAGAGTATGAGAAAGGAGAAGATTTTATTCAGATTACAATTTGTTCAGTGTAATTCTTTTTCTGATACTCCTATCAGTTTAATGGTTTTTTTTGGGGGGGGGGCTTGTTTTTTCTGTATCTCAAATACATAACTTTGATATCTTGTAATGTCAACCCAAATGGAGTTGTTTTTTATTAAATAGATATTGACTCTTTTTCCCTTGACATAACCACCTTGAATTTAATCCGTCGTGTATGGTAGTCGGTATGTCTATATAACTATAATAGGTATTGTTGTCGACTCGTTGACTTCTAATATTAGAACAAGACACATATAAGCGAACAATATTATTGTTTTTAATTAGATCTTTTTTAGGCTTTACTCTAATTCACATAGATTTATATATACAAAATTTTAACCAATGACGGTGAGTTTATGCATCAAACTATAATAGTAATCATAATGTGGTAAATGTTTCTATCATCAGTAATAACGATGATTATAATGATAACAAAATAATACTGATAAAAAGGTTTATGCAGGTGGCGATAAGAAGAATAACGAAGGTAGTAATATGTGTGTGTATATGTGGACAATTCAATGTATGAATAAATTAGGTCAAATCTCAATAGCTACGTAATACAAAAGGTAGGTGAAGTAGACAGATAATCAGAGTTCAAATAAATATAACATCATTAAAACACGAAGGAAATGGAAAATAGGAATGAGTGGAAGGGTTTTAATTGCACTTTACATAGGCCAATGTAGAAACAAAGGTAGAACACGCTTCTTTTGTTGTATGCAAAGACACTGGGATTGTTCTCTCGAATTAATTCCCATAGCTTCGGCTATGTGTATTTTGGATGTATTCAAATTCATTTTCTACGATCAAAATGACTTTGTATCGGATTGGTACCAAACTGAAAAAATGTGTATATTGTCCTACAGATGTAGGTTTTCTATACACACATCTCTCTTGAGTGAAGCATCCTGTCTTCATTTGAACACCAGGGAAGTGTAGTCTACCATCATCTCGCTTTTCACAAGTGAAGATGAGCGACGTTCCAAACATTTAGCAGATTATTGTTATTATTATTTGGTCCCCAAAACTCACCATCATTGGTTACAATTTCTAATATATAAATCTATGTAAATTAGAGTAAAGCCCGAAGAAGATCTAATTGAAAACAACAATATTGTTCGGTTATATTGTCTAATAATAATAATAATACTTATAATAATAATAATGGGAATATATATATATACCATAGACAGGTCAGGACTACGATTACGGTGAAGAAACGGGACTCAGCAGTATAGATGGTTGGATTTTAACGGGTTATTTTTTCCCCTTAGAGATAACTTTAAAGCAATAACTTGTAGAGAGGGAGATACGGTCGCCAGTATTGACTAGATCTTCAGTTACTACTCTTCTTATGACCCTACTTCCACCTCTCTTCATAACCACACAGCATAGGATTCTTCCAGCCTTTTGGAATAAAATCCATGTTGAATAGTCGATCAGCCTAGCTCTACAGGATCAAGTGACTTGGTCAACTTGAGTATCCCATGAAAAATGTAACCCGCAAAAATGATTCCGTATCATGTAAGTGTTCATTGATTGATCATTTCTCACTCTCTGTTTTTTTTTTGCTATCATAATTATAATTTCAGTTTCATTTCAGACTAATTCAAGGTTATTTCTCTCCATGGTGGCCAATGAATTATGCTCAGATATGTGTCTAATTTTGGATAATGGTGATATACTACCAGCACATAAATTCATTTTTGCTGCTTGGAATTTAAATGTAAATTACTTACAGGTATGAATTGTTTTTGATGTTACTATTGTTATTGTTATATTTCTACTTAGATGGTGGATTTTTGTTTATTGGTAGGTAGTTCAGTGTAGATTTCGTCAGGAACTGACATCAATTATAGAGGGATCATTTAAAAGCTGTCTGTCTTGCACACTAATTCGTACCTCTATAGAAGTCCATTACCTCATTAGCAGTTGAACCCCGAAACCTTTGAATTACGAGACAATGTCTATTGGGATTGAGATTCACTGCTCTGTGTACTCTAACCTTATTTTTTTGATTGCACACTAGTCAGTGACTAGTGTAATGTATCTAGTCCTATCTTCGGTGCAGACTGAATTCTATCAGTCATGTTTGCAATGTGGCCACCATGCTAGGTGGCTCGCCATTACGGTGCACTGTGAGTGGTTGGTATTAGATGGTTGGAGGCAATCGGCAGGAAGCCTTGGACCTAGGTTTCGTGCTAGTTGGCACTCATCAGCAAGGCGTATCTGCAACCTTGAAGGAACTGATGTCCCTTCTGAGATTCGAACCCGCGTCACCCAGTGCTGCAGTCAGAGACGTTACCACTGAGCTATTCAGGCTCGCGACTGACCTCCTGTAGGACCGTATATCCAGATACGCCTTGCTGATGAGTGCCAACTAGCACGAAACCTAGGTCCAAGGCTTCCTGCCGATTGCCTCCAACCATCTAGTAATCTAACCTTATCAATTATTGACTATGGCACCACCCTAAACCAATGGGACTTTGACGAGCATCCGCTTCACCTTAACATGTTGGACTACACTGACTGCGACTTCTAAGGGTAACCATCCAACAGGCATCAGTGACTGATTTCAATGTTTTTCTAACTAATGTATGACACTACTTATTAGTAGCATAAAATTATTGTGGAAAATTATAATCTGTCATATTACACTTCGACCTATTATTTTGTTTATTAGATGTAACACACAGTGAAACAGCATTACTGTTTACTGGATGACACAGTTTCGAACAAAATTTATTGTGGATCATAATCATATCAGTTATAATCACACGACTTCGAAACTTGAGTTTTATAGTTTTCTTTGTTCTCTCCTATTTGTCGCCGTAGGGGTAGTAGAATTTTCCAGATATCTGGCTGGACAGGTGTTGAATCATTCCTATTACACGTATCTGCAGTTGATTTGATAAAAAAAGCTTCCGCTGTCATCAATCTCTCCTTCTCCCTTGCAGTTACATTAGATTTTAAAACTATCATCTTATCCCATGCATCCTATTGTATGGTTGTGTGTAATTGCATGTAGTGAGTGCTATAGCTGAACTATTCTCTAGATTTCTTATCTTATTAGGGTCAACTAATCTACATTTTGTTGCTTGGTTCTTGTGACCCGCTAGTCTGACCGACCCCGTTCTACTACTAGTGGCATGGTGACCAAATAGAGAACCTGACCGATAGAATTCAGTCTGCTGTAAACAAAGGACTGAACACATGACGCTAGTTAGTGTCCAATCAAAAGTATACTGCTGACTACTTGTTATCAGTAGTAGGAACTCAAATATACCAAGTAGTAATTTATTTTTTATGTCCTATTAACTAACAGAATAATATTAGCTGACTACATTTTTCCTTACAAAATTATACATTGGATATTGGATAAGGTAGTCCGAATGCTACACGTATAACAGGTCATTAGTTCGATTCACCTCCACCCCGACTACATGCGCTTGAAAAGCTGAGTGGGGTAACAAAGTCTTGTAAATCAAATTTCAGTATACATCTCGAAGATACTCTCCACTGATGAGGCACAATCAAATGTGTATCATTCGTTGCTATCTATCTAACTACTGGAAGCTTGTCTGATAGATATACAAAGGTATTCAATCTTATGAGCTGACACACACATAGAGCAGAATAATCTGCTGGATATCTCTACAGATTGTGAGGTTACGAATTCTAAAGTTCTTATATAAAAAGCACAAATCTATCGTAGCAGAATGACGGAGAACTATCTCTTGATAATAAGATTGCATGATAATTAAAGGAGCAGTAGAAAGAATATTTTCATGCAGTCAGGCAGGTAGCAAGGAAATTGAAATAACTAAATACAAAGCTTCTATCCAGTTTACTAAGCACATATACGAAGAGTTACTGGCCTAAACAAAAAAATAGAATATTCACACAGTGTAAATACTGGACACCATGTGAGCATCTCTAAGTTCTTCAAAATATTTAATTCGCCAAAGATACCAGGTTCATATGGACTAAAATAAAAACCAGTACTCCCTGTTAGTTTTCGAGTGGTTCTCTAACTGATGTCAGCTTATGATGAAATCCCCCATCCAATCAAACAAAATCCCTACGAAACCAATACTTGAAAATTAAAATAAAAACGTTTCACAAACGGAATTTCAAACAAGGGAAGGAAATGAGACTGATTTTTCACAACCGTGGTTATCTCACAACAGAAGGTAAGACACGGAAGCCAAGGTCTCTTTTCAACTGATCAAACTGCTGTTCATATATATACAGTTAATATTCTCTAACCAGTCATTGAGCGTGTGATTTTGGCTTACATAAAACGACATGAAATAGAATGTTCAAATATGCATAGTATTCTGTTGCTAATGCTGTATTGAACTGTGGAAATGTATGAGAAAAATATTCCGTTGGAACCTATTTTTGTTTGCATCACACCACCACAGTATAATATCTTACCTGTTACCAAGGCAACAAATAAAGTATGTTATTTTTAAAACTGATGGAACCGGCTTCAGTTAGAGAATCATTGTAAAACCAGCCTGGCGCATATAGAACAGTTGTTTCACTCTCATTTGGAACTCCTCATCAGTACACACTCATGACTAGAATTCAGTTTATAGTAAACAAAGAACGACACACATGACACTAGTTAATGTTCAATCAGAAGTATAGTCCTACAGAAGGTCATTTGCGAGACCGGATGGGTCAGTGGTAACGTCTCTGACTGCAGCACTGGATGACGCAGTTTCGAATCTCAGAAGGGATACAAGTTGCTTGAAGGTTGCAGATGCGCCTTGCTGACTGATGATTACCAACTAGCACGCAACCTAGGTCAGGTTGGGCTTCCTGTCGATTGCCTCCAACCATCTAACATATATATATAAAATTGTTTCCTTTAATTCCTAGAGGAACATAGGGCTTCAGCCGTGCGTCTCCATTGCTTTCGGTTCTCTGCTAGAGTCTTCACCTGCCTCCAAGTCTGCCCACATGTTTTCATCTCCTCTTCACATGACCTCGTCCAAGTCACCCTTGCACTGACGACCAACTCGCCGCTTCCCTTTCGGGTTCCACTCAAGCGATGTCTCGTCTAGTGATGTCACTTGATGGTTTCCTCAGAGTATGGACAATCCATCTCCACTTCTTCCCGCCTATTTGTTTCACAATCGGTTCCTGGTTGGTTCGCTCCCAGAGATCCCTCTCTGTTGCTGATCTCTTCTGGCCATCTGATCTTGAGTATTGAGCGAAGACATTAGGTCGCTTCTCTCTAAACTATAATTTAATGTATATATATATATATTTGACATCATATCATTTCATTGTTGTTTTTTCTACATTTTGTTTTCTTTCATCCCCTTTGATTTAGTCGGATATTTTACAAATTCATAATGTTACAAAAAGCGAACTTATCGATCTACTCAATATCTTATACAGTGGTGATCAATCTAACCTCAATGTAGAATACTTTAGCCAAGCTTCAGAAGGCATTAAAACTATTCTCACAAAGTATGTCTTATGTATGTCTGTGTATGTGTGTGTGTGTAATTTTGTCCTTATGTATCAACATGAAGAAATGAAGTAGCAGAACCTTCCTAGTTGAGCAATGTTAGCTGATATAAGATTAAGTTGGAACCACATGTGGTCTAATCAAAACTGGGAATCAATCAATGAAGTCTTTGATGATTGTTGGTTTGACCCGGCCAAGTATGGAGGCGTAGAGACAAGCCTAGTATGGGACCTCAGGTGATATGTCTCAAAATCGCACTGTCAATGGCGTAGATGCGTTAACTCTTTTTGTAATCCCCCAATAGTCGTTCAACCCTGATGTTACTATCATCCTGTCTGGAATAAATGAATAATTTCAGCTACTGATAATACTACCTAAATAAAATCAGTAGTATCGACAAAATCTACGAAAAAAGGCTTTGACATCACTTATAAGCGTTTTGATTTAAAAATGATCTAGTCTCTTTTGATTTATTTATATTGTGATGTGGTTTTTAATATACACAACATCGAAAGGTTTGGTATTCAGCTGGCTGACTGTCTTCGACATAGAACTTTGCACTGAAGTGCAGCAGTTCGAGTCGCCACACGTCACTCAGCACACAAAGCCAGAGAAGAGGAAGAAGAAAGTAAAAAGGAACGCAAAATAGAGACAGTAAACAAAGATATGAGGCAAAAAGAAAATAGTAATATCGAAGAACAATATAGTTTTATTGGGTATTATAAGTCACAAGGAGTGGATGCATCTGCACCAGCCACTGACGACGATCACTTTGAACCATATCACCAATTGTCTCCACTCATGGCTTTTTATCGTCCCGAAGACCCCAACGAAGGAGTCCACATCTTCCTACGTGACTGGCTTAAACTAACCGTTGTTGATTTGATTGACTAATGAAGTCATGTTTTCGTTTGACCACCACTAGCTCTCTCATTTCCACCCTGATCAATCCTATGTCAGTCGGATAACATTGCCTGTTGTCGAGGAAGGCGATCGATGGCTAGGGATGCATGTGTAACACATGTCCTAACCATCTCAGTCTGTGTAACTTCACAACTTCGTCGATTGATTTCCCCTCCTTACCTAGCACTCGATACCTTACCAATTAATACGGGAGATAGAACTCAGGCACCTATGATCAAAAACAGCTGGGTAGATGTTTCATGTCTTCCACTTTCAATGGCCAGGTCTCACAGCCATTAAGGAGGACTGAGCGAACTGCTGAGCAGTACACACCACTCGTCCTTTGGTCGACAGCCAGCCGGATACCACGTTTACGGCGTAAATTGCCATATGCGAAACGAACCTTCTGTATCCATGCGGATATTTCGTCAGCGATCAACCGTCTAGCGTTGGCTGATGCAACTTCCCAAATAAAATGGTCAACACATCCACCAACCACTTCACTCCCTATTTCTAAGCAAGGAGTGAGTCAATGTAGTCCAGTCCAGTCCTGTGGCATCATCTTACATTTGTTTTCCTATTGATTGCTTTCACCGAAATGTTCGTTTTCTGTTGATTTCCTCGGCTTGCTGCTGTTACAAACCTTTCGACAATGTCTACGGGTTAACTTGAAGTAATTCACTGGGATCCACCGCTAGTCACTATCCACGAAATATCATTTCTTAAGAAAATTTACAGTAAATAATAATAATAATGTGTGGGGATGATTTGTACATTTACCAAATTAAAAGATCTTACGAGTAAAAGTATGCTTTAATATTGTATTTCTCTTTATTTCTTCAAGTTGGGGTCTTACACGTCTGATGGATATCACAAAGACTGAAGATTCTTGCTTACCACATTCTCCAAGTGTATCATTAGCGTACAAAGTGGAAGATACCACAAGCATCTATAATTCTCATTACCACCTATCGCTTGGTGGTACATCAGTACCCTCTCCAACGCCGACATCTCCGAGGTTATCTATTTCACCAACAACAAATAATTCATACAATACTGTGAAGAATCCTGTCCACTCTCCACTTCCCAGCAACCAGTTGAATCAAGAGATTCCTCCTACTGTGATAAGCAACAGCCCTTCACCAAGCAATTTTATCAGTTCCACGTCAATTAATCATGAGGCTAATGGAGAAGAAGAGAAATCTCAATCACCTGTATTATTATTACCTACAGTAGTATCTACACTGAAGACTCCCGCATTAGTTGTTCAACGAGAAAATCTTCATTCTTCTAAAGATCCAGCTCAATTCAGTCGTGATTTATTCTTTTCATCTGATGATGATAAGAAGAAAACAGCGACAGTGATATTCCTAATTTAATGCGAGGAGTGATGAGATGAACAGAGGGGATGACAACGGTACTAACAGTATAGATGTTGAAGAACATCATCGTTATATTCACCAAGAAATACCGAAACCTCCTGAGGAGGAGGAGAGCAAAGATGTGGATGATAATAGTGATCAAAATGAAAATATTCAATCTCCTACAGATATGGTTATTGATCTCACACAGGTAAATTGATCCTGGTTCAAAATCAGTTATAATATTTGCCTGAACGAAGAATATTCTTTTCAATAATTTCTCCTTTTTCAGTTTCTTACAATTATAAAATGTAATATTTATAGTTACAAATGTAGCTAGTTGTGTAAACACGAAAGAACCAGGCAGGCTTTAGACCAGGAAGAGGGTGTATTGATCATATGTTCACCCTTCGACAGACACTAGAACATAGGCATACTTATCGTCGGCGTTCAACAATCATTATATTTCTTGACCTAAAGGTGGCATTCGATTCTGTCGACCGAGAGGTACTCTGGCGATGCTTGGCTGTAAACGAAATGCCGAGAAAATACATTGCAATGATCAAGGCTCTCTACTCGAACTCATGCAGTCAGTCAGATAAGAGCTTACGGGCTAGTTGTCATCTGAAGTGGTGACAACTAGTGGCGTCCGTCAAGTATGCCCATTATCCCCCTTTTTATTCAATTTCATCATAGATGTACTAATGGACTTAACCCCAACTCACTTCAGAGATCACCTTTTGTGCAACGGGTCATTAATTGAATTTAATTTTAGATTTTTCCATCGATTGATTGGACCGAAATGCTCCTCGGTCTCAGGTTGACATGTCGGCTTCTTGTGCAGATGCTTCGACGATGTCTGGGCATGTAATTCGCATTTAATTGGTGGATGGTGACCCTCAGCTGACGAGTCCCAAATAGGACGAAGTGCACATCCTGACTAGATTCCACTGCTCGTCACCATCCACCAATTAAATGAAAATTACATACCCAGATATCGTCGAAGCATCTGCACAAGAACCCGACATGTCAACCTGAGACCGAGGAGCACTTAGGTCCAATCAATCGATGGGAAAATCTAAAAATTCAATCAAATATTTGTTGTTTGTTTTAAAAACACATTTCTTTCGTGTGTTTTTTTTTGTTGTTGAAAAATCTACTTTTCCTGTGCAATATTTACTAATTCTTTTTACGAGTTGATCACGGATTGATATCAATCAGTTAGAGAACCATTGAAAACCAGCCACAGGGAGTACTGGACAGCCAGTTGTTTCATCAGCCTAGTTTGGGAATCATCATCAGTACGCACTAACCTCACAGGGGGTGCGAACCCACGACTTTCCGGTTACAAGCAAGCTGGCCAGCCCATGAATTCTAACTTCTACCAATACGTGATATATTTAGCGTGACTGGCACCAACCAATCGATGATCATCGGTGGGGGACATCCATCCTCACACTTGATTGGTTGGACCTCACTGGTCACAACTTCTCATTTGGTCCCGGAGGCTGAATGGTATACGAGCTTGTCTTGTGGGTGCGTGCTACCGATGATTCCCAAACTAGTGGGATGAAACAGCTAGCTGTCCAGTACTCTCTGTGACTGGCTTTCAATGCTTCTCTCTAACTGGTTGATATCAATCCGTGCGTGCGTGGTCAAACTCGTAAAAACAAAGCGCGAATCCTTACAAACCAAAACTATAGAAAAAAACTAATTCTTTTGTTGTGTTTTTTTTAAAACTTTCGTTTACCTCGATATTTATTTAAGCCAGAAACAATAACAGACGTTAACTGCTATTCACCTATGCATATCAACAATTCCTCAAATTGTAATAATGAATCTTTGAAAAGGAAACAATCGCCATTGTATAGTTCGCCTCCTATTACTATGACAACAGCAACAACAACAACTACTACTACTATTAATAGTAGTACTTCAAGACATGTATTCAATTCATGGTTAGACAATGGAACCACTCCACCGCCATTAATGAAACGTTTACGTTTGTCTAATGATGATAGGATGATTTCAAGTACTTCTGCTACTACCACTACTACTACTACTGATATTACTTCCACGAGTAGTATTGATACTACTGTTCTCAGCATTAGTAGTAGTACTACACCTTCGAATTCTCTTCTAACTGATTCAGTACTAAGCTATTTTAGCACAGATCTGCATATTGATATAATAATAACAATAATGAATGCAACACTGGTCCCATTGACAAAGAGAATCAGATCGCTGCAGTGGTGTTGAACCAAGGCAGGGAAACAACATCATCCCCCGAAGCAGCTACCTCTTCAATGAATCAGTTATTCACACCGGAGAGGAAGAATCTATCAGCGCCTATACATCACCACGAGTTAATGAATACACCTCCGTTTACTCCACTGCCTAAATATGAAGAAATGATGACTCCAGAGTTGAAAGTAAGTTTGCTTTATTTTGTTGGTTGTCTATATGTATGTTTTCTTTCTTCAAATGTATACTCGTAGAATACTGTCACTTTTGGATGGTTGACGTCGCATGCTTCTGAAATTAGACATAATTAGTGTCTGTTCAGATGGAGAATACTATTTGAAGGTTAGTAGGAACCACTACAGGCGCTCATTCTCTCTCTCTCTTTCTGTCTGTCTGTTGAAACACTAGAAGTTGTTGATAATTGCATGAATGCTGACGGAGGTAAGACTGGTGAAATTTCTAATCGTACTAAGGAAACCAGGTCTCTCTGACTGTCTGTCTGTCTGTTTTCGACATAGAACTTTGCACCGATGTTCAAGTCACCACACTCCCATATAGCACACAAAGCAAGAGAATAAAGTAGAAGAAATGCAAAATAGAGAAAGTAGACAGAGATATAAGACAAAAGGAATAGTAATGTCGAAGAACAATATAGTTTTTTTGGAAATTATAAGTCATAAGGAGTGCGTCTGCGCCATTGAACATGAGGATTTCGAGCCATATCACCAACTGTCTCCAGCCACTGTTGTTTATCGTCCCGAGGACCCCAACCAGGAAGTCTACACCTTCCTACGTGGCTGGCTGGCTGGCTTAAACTAACTGTTGTGGGTTTCATTGACTGAAGAAGCCATATTTTTGTCTGACCGCCACTAGCTCTCTCTTTTCCAACCTGATCAATCCTATGTCAGTTAGCTAACATCGCCTGTTGTCGAGGAAGGCGATGGCTAGGCCAGGCATGTGTAACACATGTGCTAACCATCTCACTCCATCGATGTAGCCTCACAGCCTCGTCGATTGATTTCCCCTCCCTCCCACACGGTATAATTTAGTCCTACTGTGATTATAAATGGTTAGCCAAGATCACTGGTCTCCCCACGGCTATCTGAATTCTTATTCTCAAGTGATTTTACAACACACCCTAACAAAACAACTCTATAAAATAAGTTGCGCTATCGTTTCCACGTAATGACATAAGTCGTATATTTGACATTATGAATTGGTAGGTTTTTTCTTGTGAGGTCTTTATTTGGATGGATTCATCAGAGAGTTCTTGCTAATCTCTGGCATTATATGTTGCTTCGTAGGCGTATTTAGGCTTCAGGCTTGAAAGTTGGAACGAAGAATATTCTTTTCAGCAATTTCTCCACTTCAAGTTCTTACAGTTATAAAACATGCAATATTTGTTGTTGGTACAACAATGACAGCCAGTTAGTGATGCGGCGGATACATTTTTTTAAACGTAGAATAACAGATTGGTAGTTATGGGGTGTCAAAATAGATATTTGTATTTGTGTGACAAACATGCTAGTAGGCTGAAATCGATTACAAAATATTTCTGTGAAGTGGGAGACACTGTCGTGGTGATTAGTCGTCATAAGAGATTCATTCGTAGAGTGTGGGGTAGGCAAACTGACCAGTCAGTTTGTTCAGGGTTATAAAAGGTGTCAGGTGAGTGGAGTGGCCAGTACAAAGTGGTATGTATTAAACAGGAGGAGATAGTAAGACTGCAATGAGACGTTCATTATGAAATAACCAATATGTGAAATGAAATAGGTGGAGGCATATGTACTGTAAAAAGAGATAATAACATTAATAACAAGTTCGAATACTATAAATGCAAGAGAACTTATTGAAAAGAATATTCCTAGTTCAGATTGACTTTTAATTTATGATATGGGAATATTAAATATAGTTAATAATTCCCACTGAAACATAAAAACAAAGAATTCAGCGAAAAAAATTCTCCTTCCGATGATTTTATTTTCATAGCTATAAAATCGTATATATATATATATATATCAGTTAGAGAACCGTTGAAAACCAGCCTCAGGGAGTATTGGACAGCTGTTTCATCCTAGTTTGGGAATTATCGGCACTACACACCCACCACCAGGGTTCGAACCCAGGACCTCCCAGTTACAAGGCAAGCTGGCTCGTATACCATTCAGCCACAACCACAGGCACCCAATTCAGTGGCCAGCCCATGAATTCTAACTTCTACCAATTCGTGATGCATTTACCACGACTGTCACCAACCAATGTCATCGGTGGGAACTCCATCCTCACACTTGACTGGTTGAACCTCACTGGTCACGACTTCCCACTAGAACTCCAGGAAACTCCGTCCTGTAACAAGTCACTAGCGAGCATCAGATGGATTTCCCACCGATGACATTGGTTGGTGCCAGTCACGCTAAATGCATCACGAATTGGTAGAAGTTAGAATTCGTGGGCTAGCTGGCCATTGAATCGGGTCCCAGTGGCTGTGGCTGAATGGTATACGAGCCAGCTTGCCTTGCTTGTAACCGGAAGGTCGTGGGTTCGAACCCCCTGTGGAGTGGGTGCGTACTGCCGATGATTCCCAAACTAGGCTGATGAAACAACTGGCTGTGCAGTACTCCCTGTGGCTGGTTTTCAATGTTTCTCTAACTGATATCAATCCATGCGTGGTCAAACTCGTAAAAACAAATTCAACCCTTACAAACCAATTTTTGAATATATATACATATTTTATTATAGCTTGACTCCACACAGTATTTTTGTCACATGTATGGGATTTTCAGCATGTGATATCGGTAGCCCAAATTTAGCAGGCTGACTATTGATATCAGATGTGCATCGGCCGGGGACCGACCCCCGAACCATGTGCATGGTCGGTATATATATATATATATATATATATATATATATATATATTAAAACAATTAGTCCCTTTGATAAATTTGAATAAGGCATTTAGAAGACAAATTTCGCGAGATGATATCATTTCGTAGTTTCTTTACAACCGCTTTACAATTAATAAATAAAGCTCATGACAATTACTCAGTTAAATAATAAACAAAAGTACATACTAATAACCAATCATATTTAAATAGGTCAAGTAGTCAGTTCATGGTAGGCGACATAAATTGAAGTCTATTGTTTTTTGTAAACACAGCTTAGGCTGTATGTGATTAATCCAAAGTGCTTCCATCACCTTCAATAACCTTGAATTAGAGTTATGTGATGAAATAATTGTAAAACAGTCATTAATATTTATTTTGTGACCTGACATTAATAAGTGTTTTGCAATGGATAATGATGCTGGATTTCTATTCAGATTAATAACTACATTGGGATTTTCTATATGATTTAGTAGCCATTTTGGAACATGTTCTTTTCGACGACATTGGAACATTCTATTGGTTCTACCTATATAGGTGTCACCGCAGCTGCAGGTGAAGGTACATGCAGAAATGTGAATATGTGAGAATGATAATATGATGGAGACATGAATGGATGAGTGAAGTGTTGTCAAAATAGTGGACTAGATAAAATGATAACATAAAGTGAAATGAAATAAAACAAAAAATGGAACACGGAATAAAGAAGGATAACAAAGTTTTTCTGATGTGGACTACATAGTAAAATCAAGATCATGGAGTGCTAACGAAAAAGATCGTACAAATTGTTTTTGTACACAAAGTTCTGGCTTTATGTGTTATGTATTGCCAAAGCCTCTGCTATATACAAAGCAAAAATGCACTCGTATCCCTTTCGACAAACTTTGTGGACTATACTAAACGATGTGGTGTTAGATGCTGCGTCGTGGTCAGTAATCGACAGGGCAAAGTTCAACAAAAGCATCCCAGGAGTGCGAACGCACGAGTGACCTTCACCTGACCAATCATAAAAATGAGGAGGAATGTTTGCTCAAAAAATGATGTATATTGACAAGAAAAATGCTTGAAAACGCATTAAAAACAGATTATCTTTCTCTGACACATGGCTTAAAAATACGCCCTAGTTATAACGAGGAGTATCAGTTGCTAAGTTAGACTAGTATCTGTACATATGTATTCACCGAGATGACTACAGATAAACTGTTTTTGTGAATCGTTTATCTCATATATAGAATAATTCATAGGATGGATAGAACTTGAAAAAGGGTGTGCAATTATAAGACTAGTAGACAAATCGAATAAAATAAAAACGTTACGTAATATTGCGTGAAATTTAATAGCATAGAATTTAATGTTGCATAAAGGAATTGATTTAGAATGACAAGTGGAACAAGTGAAATAATACCGGGGACAATTAAAAGTGAGAGTAGTAATAGTAACAATTGACCTAATAAGGAGGAGTATACAAATTGAATAGACAAAAATGAAAAAATGAAAAATTGGTAGAGCTAAAATATGAAAAGTATGAAAAGAACATTCCCTGCTGCATCCTTGAGAATAGCCTTTACTAGTCGACCATTATTGTTCAATAACCTGAAGGACATGATCCCGCTGTTGACCAACTCTATGTGCGTTTATCAATTCACCTGCTCGTGTGGAGCTAGGTATATCGGTCGTTCGACAAGAGTTTTGTCCAAGAGGGTGCAAGAACACTATCCTGCATGGTTACGAAAAGGTGGAAGTGGAGCAATAAGAAGCGCGATCATTGAACAACATCTCTATAGCCTCCACCTTCAAAGTCATCTACAAGGCAAAGAGTAATTTACCCAAATCCCTACGTACCCGACTCATCTGTAATGCTGAAGCTTTGGCTATCGAAACAGAAAAGCCAGATCTCTGTGTACAGAAAAAGTTCGTTCAACCCCTCTAACTTTCATGGTCTTAATCCTTCTATGCTAAAGTATGGTAATCCCCAATCATATTTTAGCTCCACCAATTTTTCATTTTTTTCATTTTTGTCTATTCAATTTGTATACTCTTCCTTTATTACGTCAACTGTTACTATTACTACTCTCACTTTTAATTGTCCCCGGTATTATTTCACTTGTTCCACTTGTCATTCTAAATCAATTCCTTTATGCAACAATAAATTCTATGCTATTAAATTTCACGCAATATTACGTAACGTTTTTATTTTATTCGATTTGTCTACTAGTCTTATAATTGCACACCTTTTTTCGAGTTCTATCCATCCTATGAATTATTCTATATTTGACAATAATTTGCTTTGCCACTTGACATTTAACTACGATTGTAATCGTTTATCTCTCTCATCCTGCTTGCAGTCTTCCAAATAAGCTCTCGGTTGAACTGTTATGGATAGACGACTACTTACCAGGAATTCGTGGATAATAAAACAAATTACAATAAATGACATCAACTATAAATCTATCCCTAATCGTAACTATAAGCTCAATCCTGATCCTAACCCTAACCCCACTACTTATCTTAACCCTGATCCTAATCCTAACGAGCTATTAACACATTGTCCAAACAGTACTTAAAAACGTGATCTGGGTGAAATTTGCTCCTAAGTTGGTGAATAGCGTTGATATTTCAGCTATGATAATGACACATGACGCTAGCCAATGACTAGCATGCGTTCAAGGCCATTGGAGCGTTCACACTCTTGGGACGCTATTGTTGAACTTCTCTGTCGACAGTATGTTAGAGGATATTTACGCTACTACTCTATATCATTACCCTAATCCTCTGATGTTCGGGAATTCATCTACTTCTCAGCATTTACTTAGTTTCTCATAAGCAAAGCCTCCACTAGAATGACATTAAAGAAAAACACCAATGCCCCCAGGGAGGATCGAACTCCCGACCCCTGGTTTACGAGACCAGTGCTCTATCCACTGAGCTATGGAGGCACGTGGAGGGCGGAAAACTTTTCATTACCTTAGAGTTGGTGTCAATCTGCTTTCCGTCTTTTTTAGTTTCTTTATCCATATGAAATGTTCATATAACATAAAATGAGAGTGGATATATGTCTGTGTTTTTCACACTTCTAATATCACGCTTATTTGTTACTTGGTTAGTTTTATAATGTGTAGGCTATAGTAAAGAATAGACACCACAGTCAAACAACCTTGAACCGACCAATCAGATTCTTCTGAGTGAAAAGTGGCATTTATTGTAGTTATAAGACATATACGTGTAATAAAAATGAATTATACAGGATATCTATCTCTTACATGCTGCAAAAATTGGTCCCATTCTCTCATAGGAGTGTCTGTAGACATGTCAAACTAATGTCCATATAAAAATTCATGTAAGTGGCTGTATATCATATCATTTTGGGAAATATTTACTATTCTCATGCAGCCAGGTGAGAGCTTACAGCCATTTGTCATCTGAACTGGTGACAACTAGTGGTGTCCTTCAGGGAGGGATACCCACTATCCCCATTTCTATTTAATTTCATCATAGATGTACTAATGGAGTTAACCCTAACTGCTGACTTCAGCGACTCAGGGATTGACTTGGTACCATCAGGTAATGATCTCGTTGATTTAGAATATGCAGATGACATAATCCTCCCAATTAGGTGATGACGCTGACAAAATGCAGAGTCTTCTGAACACCTTGAGGTGAGTAGCAATCTTCGAATGTTTGGTATGCGATTCGCTCCTGCTGTCAAATATAAGATGATGCTACAGGACTGGACTGGACTACATTGAATCACTCCTAGCTTGGAAATAGGGAGTGAAGTGATTGGTGGAGCATGTTGACCAGTTACTTGACTTACTTAGGAAGTTGCATCAGCCAGTGCTAGTGTGGTGAGAGCAAGCTGCTAGCCAATTGGTAGACATTGATCTACGCTGATTGGTGGAAATTAATCTAGGCTGATTCAACAACCTATCACAGCTGACCTAGACGTGGACAAATATGATTCGCAGACAAGTGGCTCGCATTTCCGAGAAATATCGAAAACGAGAAAGCAGAAGACTGCGTTTGTTTGCAAACAACCAATCAGAAGACCGCCTTCTTTCTGCGGGCATAGCCTTATTAATGTACGTAAAATACATATAAATACCTGTTGGTTTTCGTAATAAAACTGATCTGTTGCCTGGCCCTTGTCTTCTGTTGTTACACTAGCACGTTGATCTCTGACGAAACCTCACCACGGATACAGAGGGCTCATTTCGCATATACCAGTTTACGCCGTCTCTGGCTTAGTAGACGTGATATCTGGCTGACTGTCGACCAAAGGATGTGTGATGTGTACTGCTCAGCAGTCCTCTCCGTCCTCCTTTATGGCTGGCTGTGAGACCTGGCCATTGAGAGTGGAAGATATGATCATAGGTGCCTTCGTTCTATCTCCCGTGTGAAGTGGTATAATAGGGTGAGCAATATTGAGTCGGTTAGACTTCAGTCGAGTGCTAGGTGAGGAGGGGAAATCAATAGACGAGGCTGTAAAGTTACTTCGATTGAGATGGTTAGGACATGTGTTACGTATGCCTAGCCTATCTGTCACCTTCCTCGGTGGGAAATGTTAGCTGACATAAGATCGATGAGGTTGGAAAAGAGCTAGTGGTGGTGGTCAAACCGAAACATGGCGCCAGTCAATGAAATCAACAACAGTTAGTTTAACCCAACCACGTAGGAAGGTGTAGACTTCCTGACTGGTTGGTATCCTCGGGACGGTGAAATGCAATAAAGGCTGGAGACAATTGGTGATATGGCTCAAATTGATCGTTGTCAATGGCTGGTGCAAATGTATCCACTCCTTGTGACTTATAATTTCCAATAAAATTATATTGTTTTCCGATGTTACTATTCTTATTGCCTCATATCTCTGTTCACTGTCTCTGTTTTGCGTTTCTTTTTACTTTCTTCGCTTGCTTTGTGTGCTACATGGAGTGGAGTGTGGCGACTCGAACTTCTGCACATCTGTGCAAAGTTCTACGTTGAAACCAGTCAGTCATTCGCCATTGCAATACGTTTTTTAGATGGGCCCAGAGTCGTTCAACAGAATTTGTAAAAGTTCCACTTATAGGATCCACTAATTCAGAAGAATGATTGACTTTACGATGTGAATGTAGCCTAATGATGGCATGTGAATGGTAGTGCCTGGCCTGATATTAAAACATCGACACTTCCTTTTGGGATACGTTCTACCAACAACCCTTTTCGAAGGTTTGCATCTTACATTCCCAGCACCCAAAAATGGTTTGCTCTTCCCCTATGTTGATTCAATTCTCATTTAATAAGTACACTGTTTCATCGATATGAACGACGACACCAATTCTTCCAAGTACAGAAGTAATTCCACTGATCTTTTGTGAGGCAATATCCCAACAATTCTGATACCATTGCACCAGTTTACCGAATGCAGGAAACTCTGAAATTATTGATTTCAATTTTGTTGAAACTTTATAAATGTGCTTTTTACATATGTCTACTTCATTGTTATGACATTTCACTAGGCATTACCAACTAGCACGAAACCTAGGTCCAAGGCTTCCTGAGGCCGATTGCCTCCAACCATCTAATATCATCAAATCAATGTGCACCGTGATGGCGAGTCATCTGGTAGCATGGTGGCCACATTGCGAAACTGACTGATAGAATTCAGTCTGCACCAAAGAGAGGACTAGACGCATAACACTAGTTACTAGTGTACATTCTGTGATGTCAGAACTCATTTACCTGAAACTGACTTTATGCACAATCTACGAACTATCCTTATTCTCTCAGGGATTTCAAAACTTGGAATTCAATTCCGAGGTCCACTGACTGAAAACTGATTGCTTAAGTCAATGAGTCATATTGTAACAACAGGAGACAAGGGCCAGGCAACAGATCGTTTATTGAGGAAATCAACAGATATTTACAGATTTTCATGTACATTATCATAGATTATTGTTAGCAAACAGACACAGTCTTCTGATTTGTGGTTTCTTGCTGAACGTTAGTTAATCTTTCATCTCTTTGTGGCTGTTTCTTGAAGGTCAGATCATCTGCTATCTGCTAATTGTATCCGCCTACGCAAAATCTGCTGTCAGTCTTTGTTCTTGTTTTCACATGACTAATATTTGGGACATAAACATTGACGTAAATTACTGTCTACCAATTTGGCTAGCGGCCAGCTCCCCACCACAATATCTCCATTTACTCATTCAGATTTGAATCTTTTTTTCTATGAATAACGCAAACTTTCATCAACATCTGTCGTCACTCCATGCTGAAGGTTAAATGGCTAGTCGGCAAGTAAGGATAAGCAACAAAGATCTCTAGCTACTAAGAATTAAACAAGAACTTTTCGCCCAGCAAATATGCAGAAGAAAGTGAGGATGGATTGGTGGATATACGGTGGAAAGAGACCGTCGAATAGAACTCGAATGCGAAGCGACAAGCGGTAACATACGTGGCGTGACATGACATGAAGGAGATCGTGCGATGCGGTGGTGAAAGCTTATGAAGTCAGCAGAGTACAGAGTGAAGTGGAGATTCACTGTGTTGAAGCCTCGATGTTCCACTTGGAACTTTAGGAAATATTTAATAATTATTATCACTAAATAACTGATGACTGACTGTTGTATCTTACTGATACTGTATCTTTTTAAACAGATTGCTGTCATCATTTTTGTAAATGTTGTTTATGTGATGTGAAGGAATTAACCAGTGTTGTTTTGTGTCTTTTCTCGTCAACACACACACACACCCATCGCGTTACCCCATATCCAGCGTGCTTTGTCTAAATACGGTGTTAAACCTCTTCCACGGAAACGTGCTGTTCTACTATTAAAAGAGATATACAATCAACTGCATCAATGTAAGTCATATAATATAACCATCGTATCCTCATTCATTCTTTCTTTCTTTGCATTATATATATATATATATATATATATATATATATATATGAGATATTGGTTACATTTTCATTGGACACTAGTAACTAGTGTGACGTGTTTAGTCCTTTCTTTGGTGCAAACTGAATTCTATCAGTCAGGTTTGTAATGTAGGCACCATGCCACTAGGTAGCTTGCCATCACGGTGCACATAATAATAATAATAATAATAATCTGCTTTATTCCAGAAACAGTACTTGTGGTACAGTGTGCAATTTTCAGCACATATCTACAATATTTGCATCTTATTTTATCAAACATTTAAAAGGAGTATTTCAAAAGAATTATATGTAAAGACAACAAAAACAAAAAACAAAAATAATTTTTAAAAATGCGAAAAAATACCAAGAAGTAGAAAGGAAAATAAATAACATAATAAATAATATCTCAGTATTGGGTAGTGGAAGCTATGATATGATTATGCATGGTGACAGTAAAGCTATAGTCATACAAGAAGTTATGAAATGATATTTAAGAATGTTTATCGCCAAGATGATCAGTTAATTTGATTGAACAACACTAAACAATCATAAAATAACATTTCAGGGTTTTTTTATTGTCAGGTCTAATGCGGTAGTGGTGGTAGTGTGGGTAATCCTGCATAAAACAAAATTTTAAGATGGTGATAATGGCGTTCACAACCAAGATTGCCGAACAAAAAAAAACAACCACAAAAACTAATAATTACATGATGGTTAATGACAGGACAATTTTGTAATACTCATAGTCGGAACCAGTAGATACACAAAAGAAGGAATAGAGTAAAGTACAAAAAAGTAAGCCAATGTTATTAATTTAGGTGGCTAAGTATGTTTAAGAAGGTGTTCACTATAGAATACAAATAAGAGAGAAATAAAAGAGCCAAAATTATATTATTAACAACAGAGCAAGTCATAGGTTTCGCGCTTAACATTGTCTCTGTCACTTTGAAACACGGGCCAAATATGGTATCATTGAGTTCCTGTACATTTATTTGATGATATTAGATGGCTGGAGGCAATCGGCCACAGGAAGCCTTACCTGATCTAGGTTTCGTGCTAGTTGGCACACACCAGTCAGCTAGCAAGACGTATCTGCAATCACCTTGTTGAAGGTGACTCATGTCCCATCAACTGAGATTCGAACCCGCGTCACCCAGTGCCGCCTGCAATCAGAGACGTTACCACTGAGCAGCTATTCGGGCTGGCTCGCGATTGACTTCCTGTAGGACTGTAGTAAGTATTTTGATTGGTAGCGTCTCTGACTGCAGGCATCACTGGGTGACGCGGGACATGAGTTCCTTTAAGGTTACAGATACGCCTTGCTGACGAGTGCCAACTAGCCCGAAATCTAGGTCCAAGGCTTCCTGACGATTGCCTCCAACTATCTAATATTGGTTGCATGCCGGCATACCAAATGTTCAGATATGATTGATTCAATTTCAACGTAAAGTGATAATGATGAAAGTAATGAAATTACTGTATAATAATAACGAATTTTAATGCTTCGATTGTACTGCTATATAAAAGGAGAGACATCAGAAGAAGTCTTACGTAAGATTTGTAATCAGGCTGGAATTAGGGGTGGCTTTCGAACTAGTCAAATTACTCATTCAAAAACAAACTTTGTCGGCCCAACAATCTGATACATCTAATTAGGAAATATAATATAATTTAGCGAAAATATTCATTCAGACATCTATAAAAGATCAAAATAATTGAGCGAGCAAAGAATATCCTTTTCGATAATTTCCTCTTCTGCCTCTACAATCATATATATATATATATATATCACAATGGAATTACAGTTCATTAAAGATGCACAAATTATAATAATAATAAAAATATAATAGCAAATAGAATATCAACTAAAATTAAGGAAATCTCTACAAAAAAATTGAGAATCATTCGAACGTAGATGGCCAAGCGGGTAAGGGCAATGTCTGAACTAGCCTCTTTTGGACGCACAAATTAGGCTTCTTAATGTGGGTCCCAACGGCCTCAGCAGTATTTAGTAAACAAACTCTTAAGGTGAAGTTAAGATTAGTTGGTTGCTAGGTCGCTCGGTCGGTTTTCGACATAGAACTTTGCACATATGTGCGGCAGTTCAAGTCCCCACACTCCATGTAGCACACAAAGAAAGAGAAGAAAGGATAAAGAAATGCATAATATAGACAGTAAACAGAGGTGTGAGACAAAGGAATAGTAATAACGGAGAACAAAACAGTTTAATTGGAAATCATAAGTCACAAGGAATGGATGCATCTGCACCACTGAGAACGATTTTGAGCCATGTCACCAATTATTTCCAACCATTGGTTTTTACCGTCCGGAGGACCCCAACCAGTCAGGAAGTCTACATCTCCTTACGTGGCTGAGACTAACTGTTGTGGATTTCATTGACTGGTACCATGTTTTCGTTTGACCGCCGCTAGCTCTTTTCCAGCCTGGCCCTATGTCGGCTAACATTGTCCGTTGTCGAGGAAGGCGATAACTAGGGATACGTGACATATGTCCTAACCATCTCATTCGATGTAGCTTCACAGCCTCGTCTATTGATTTCCCCTCCTTACCTAGCACTCGACGCCTAACCTCAATATTGCTCACCTTATTATACCACTTCACGCAGGAGATAGAACGCAGACACCTATGATCGAAGACAGCTAATCTTTTCATGTCTTCTGCTCTCAATGGCCATGTCTCACAGCCATAAAGGAGGACGGAGCGGACTGTTGAGCAGTACACACGCTCTTTGGTCGATAGTCGGATATCACGTCTACGCCAGAGACGGCGCAAACTGGCGAATGCGAACCTAGCCCTCTGTATTCGTGCTGAGATTTCGTCGGAGATCAACCCGTTGGGGCTGATGGTACTTCCCAAGTAATTGAAGCGGTCAACGTGCTCTACGACTTCACTTCCTATTTCTACTCTAGGGGTCGGTGAAGTCCAGTCCTGCAGCATCATCTTACATTTTACAGGGGCGAATCGCATGCCAAACATTCTTAGATTGCAGCTCAAGGTGATCAGTAGACGCTGCATTTTGTCAGAGTCCTCGCCTAGAAGGACTATATCGTCCGCATATTCTAAGTCAACGAGATTATTCCCTGGTAGCAAGTCAATCCCTGAGTCACTGAAGTGTGTTAGGGTGAAGTCCATTAGTACGTCTATGATGAAGTTGAATAGGAATGGGGATAATGGGCATCCTTGACGGACGCCACCAGTCGTCACCACTTCAGATGACAACTCACCGTAAGCCCTCACCTGGTTGCATGAGTTCGAGTAGAGTGCCTTGATCAGTGCAATGTATTTTCTCGGCATTCCTTTTACAGCAAAGCATCGCCAGAGAACCTCTCGGTCGACAGAATCGAATGACGCCTTTAGGTCAAGAAATATAGTGATTGTCGGATGCCGGTAGGAATGCCTATGTTCTAGAATCTGTCGGAGGGAGAATATATGATCAATACATCCTCTTCCTGGCCTAAAACCTGCCTGGTTTTCTCGTGTTTGTGTCTCCGGAGCAAGTGGTGCTCGGAAGACACAAACACGTCTGCGCCACTGAGAACGATTTTGAGCCATGTCACCAATTGTTTCCAACCATTGGATTTTACCGTCGCGAGGACCCCAACCAGGAAGTTTACACATTCCTACGTGGCTTAAACTAACTGTTGTGGATTTGGTTTGACCGCCGCTAGCTATTTTCCAACCTGATCCATCCTGTGTTGGCTAACATTGCCTGTTGTTGAGGAAGGCGATGGATGTCTAGGGTTGCATACGTAACACATATCCTAACCACCTCAGTCGATGTAACTTTACAGTCTCGTCTATTGGTTTCCCCTCCTTGCCTAGTACCCGAGAGACGCCTAACGTGAATATTGCTCACCTTATCATACCACCACCTAACACGGAAAGTAGAAAGCAGATACCTGTGATCAAAGGCAGCTAGCTTGCCTTTTCATGTCTTCCACTCTCAATGGCCAGGTCTCGCTCACAGCCATAACGGAGGACTGAGTAGTACATCCGCCCTTTGATCTATACCCGGATATCACGTCTGCGCCACGGACGGTGTAAACTGGCATATGCCAGACGAACCTCCTGTATCCGTGCTGAGGTTTCGTCAGCGATCAACCATCTGGCTTTGGCTGATGCAACTTCCTAAATAAATGAAGTGATCAACGCGCTCTACCACTTCACTCCCTATATATATGCATATAAATATACGTATAATAAATTTATCTATTATGGAATTATATATCCTACCACAATGCTCAAATTCTACACTTGCCTGAAAATATGAAAATTTAAGGGATCTGGGCGATTAAAAAACAGAGTGAATGTATATCTGCGCTATTGAAAACGATTTACAGTCATATTATCAACAGTTTTAAGCCATTGGTTCTAAGCGTATTATATCATATTATATCTGACTATCTGTAATTATTATTATTATTATTAATATTCTGTGTTGATAAATATTTTTTCCTTTTAATATAGACGAAGAAACTGACGTGAACCAGAGTGAATCGACACGTAATAATGAAGGATCTGAAATCGTTTCAAACCATGACAACAGAGATCCTCCTACCCTTGGAAGCAGCAGTTCTAGTAGTAACAATAAGAGTAATAATAATAATAATAAACGCAATACCAAGTCAAATAAACCTAAACCAACTAAACATCAAAACGTTTCATCTTCTATCCAAGGTGGTGGTATTTCCTCAGTATCCAATAGTATTAGTAGTACTAGTACTAGTAGTACCAGTAGTCATTATTATCAACAGACGACGACGTCACAGTCATCAACCTCACCGATAATGAGAGCCGTGATAACTACAAGCACTGCAACAACAACAACAATTACTGCTGCGACTACTTCTACAACTTTATCCTCTACCTCAACTTCTCTGGACCACTACCACAGCAGTAATAGCAACACACAGTATTGCGCATATGATGATGAAACTGTTGCTGTCCTTGAACAGATGTCTATCTTAGATAATGCTGAAGACGAGGAGGAAGTAGAAGGCGTGATTGAAGACGGTTGTAATAAAAAGCAACAAAGTGATAAGGATAAGGTAAGTTCGCTTGTTGTCTTTTTTGATATAAGAATAAAGCTTGCGCACTGTGGTAGAGTGTAATTCCATTATGGGTAAAATTTGTTTTGATAGTCTCACAGTGTTATACAGTAATATTTACTGATGACCACGTCTCGAGCACAATTTATTGCTCATAATCATATCAAGGTAATCACACGACTTCCTATATTCATTTATATAGTTCCATTGTTTTTCACTTGATTTGATTGGTAGTATTATTTTCCATATTTCAGGTATGAGTGATGATTCATTCCTATTGCATGTGTTGGGTGTAGATTCGATGAACAAAGATTCAGTAATCAACCTCTCTCGCTCTCCACCTACCTATATTACTTCTTAGAATTTTAACCCTCTCCCACCCTATTGTGTGGTTGTGTGTTAATGCATGCATTGCAATTGCTGAGCTTTTTTCTAAATTACTCATCTTCTCTGGGTCAACCATTCTTACCTTAGCTAAATTCTTATGTTCTGACAATCTGACTACCAGTTAGAGAACCATTGAAAACCAGGGAGTACTGGACAGCTGCTGTTTCATCCTAGTTTGGGAATCATCGGCAGTAGGCTCCCAGTGGGTGCGTACTGCCGGTTTTCAATGGTTCTCTAACTGATATCAGTCCGTGATCAACTCGTAAAAACATAACAAACCCTTACAAACCAAACTATAGAAAATCTGACTACCCCTGACCTACTAGTTTGACCTATGTAGTTGACCTCACAGTCATTGCAGGGTATTTTGTAAATTATATTATTTTGTCTAATTGGGTCAACCGACAGGGTCCTTTAACCTACAGAGCTTGTCCTACCTGAGTGAGTTTGTAGGTTTAAATGCCACCCTAATTCCTGCTTTATTGAGAATCCTACGTAGGGTCTCAGATGTCCCCTCCTTATATGGTAAAACTACTGTAGATGACTTATATTCTCTCTTATTTATGTTATTATTACTAGTTTCACAATTCTTTTTATTTTTCTTTTGGCGTTTTTCAATCTTCCTAATGAATTTTAGAGGATAGTTATTCAACACCAGCGCCTCTTCTATCTGTTTTATTTCATCATTTAGGTTTTTTGATGTGCTACTTAGTGCCATTGCTCGGTTTGTTAAACACTTAACTAAGCCTGCCTTAACAGTTAAAGGATGAGATGAATTAAAGTCTAAATATCTATTAGCTGTTTGCGTTGGTTTTCTATAAACACTAGTGTGTAGTTTGCCTTCTTCTATTCGTTTTATTTTACAATCTAACATCACAGCCAATTTTCCTAAGACCTAAATGATGAACACACTACGTGGGTAGCGAGAAGAGAAGAATCCGCTGAACTGTGATAAGAAGACTCTAGCAGATCTAGATTTCACCGATGATTTATCAAAAAGACGGTTGCAGCGAGGAAGAAAATTTTCTTTTCGACAAAGTCACCGTCAACTAGGTAGCTGTACATTCGTGTATTTATGATAAATGGGTGGGAAAGTTCCAGAATAATTTCCCGTTAAGGGTCAAATTAATAAAATTACAATTACGAATTAAAATGTCCTAATAAACAGGCGGAGGGGGACGGATAAAACTCAAACAATGTAGCATCATAATTACTGAGAAGATTGACATTGATTGTGCAATTAGCGGATTAGAAATGTAGAAATAACAAAAATAGACAGGATGGTTGGATAACAAAATCTAGTGGGATCATAACTAATGTGACGAATAATTGTTTATGCAATCAGGGATTAAATATGTAAAAATAATAAAATAACATGAATAAACATGAAGTTTGGATAAGAAATGCAATGGGATAGTCACTATTAGAAGAATTACCTGTTTATGATGTCCATGGCATGGACAAGGATTGGACATATTTCTTTTGGATACATAACGGGGGTTTGAGCTTTTGGATAGCTAGTGCCTCGGCTATGCCCAGATGTCTTGATTTTACTCCCTTTGATAGGTTTGATTGAATCTTGTATATTATTTTGAAGGATTTTTCGAATGGTGCTGAATTGATCAGATATTTTGTCACTGAACTATGTACGCGTTTTCGATCTCCTTTTACCAGACAGGCTGGATAGTGTTCACGAGCGTTTTTGTGAAGTTGGTGCATGGTACGGCCGATATACTCAGCTCCGCGAGAGCAAGTAAACTGGTGCTACTTTGTTTGAGTTTTATCCGTCCCCCTCCGCCTGTTTATTATGGCACTCTAATTCCTAATTGTAATTTTTATTAATTTGACCGTTAACCGGAAATTATTCTGCGACCTTCTCACCCATTTATCCTAAATACACGAATGTACAGCTACCTAGTTGACAGTGACTTCATCGAAAAGAAACTTTTCTTCGCTGCAACCGTCTTTTTAATAATTCCTACGATCCAATGTGTATATTCGATGATTTATCACTAATGTCACACAAACCCGAAGATTTACAGGTGAAAACCAATTAAGCTGGCAGAAGCAATAGGAAAGACAGGACTCCAGGTGAACGTGGAGAAGACGGAGGTGATGAAGATACCTATGCACCACCACCACCCCCTCCAACAACAACCAGCGGAAGAAATTTGAAAGAGGTTACCTCCTTCCTTCACTTATCTAGCTATGCAGCATCGTTTCAACTACAGGCCAGCGGAACTGATGAAGATGTCAAAGCCAGTCAGCCAGAATCGGAATGGCAAGGTATACACCTTCATCAATCTGAAATCAGTTTGGAAGTCTCCTGCACTCAGCAAAGGAAAAAATTCGGTCAGAATCTTGACGCGTCACAAAAAGCATTTCGAATAGGTTATTGTGGACTTTTACCGACAATTACATTCTCTGGTTCTATTATTATTATTATCATTATTATTATTATTGTTATTATTATTATTAGTGTATCCTTTAATTCCTAGAGGAGCATAGGGCTTCAGCCGTGCGTCTCCATTGAGTTTGGTTCTCTGCTATAGTCTTCACCTGGCTCCATGTCTGCCTACACGTTTTCATCTCCTCTTCACATGACCTCCTCCATGTCATCTTCACACTGACGACCAACTCACCGCTTCCCTTTCGGGTTCCACTCGAGCAATGGCTTGTATACTGATGTCACTTGATGGTTTCCTCAGAGTATGGCCAATCCATCTCCATTTCTTCCTGCCTATTTGTGTCACAATCGGTTCCTGGTTGGTTCGCTCATTGCTAGAGATCTCTGTTGCTGATCTTTTCTGGCCTACCATCAGATCTTGAGTATTGAGCGAAGACATCTGTTAATGAAGGTCTGTAGTTTGTTTGAGATGCTCTTTGTGACGCGGCGCCAAGTCTCTGATCCGTATGGTGAGTAGCACTGACTTCACATTGGAGTTGAAAATCCCGATCTTATTTTTGATGCTGAGAGTTGTCGACCTCCACACAGACTTGAGAGTAGTGAAAGCTTGTCTTGCTTTTCCGACTCTTGCTTTGATATCCTCGTCAGTTCCGTCCGCCTGTAGTTGAAACGATGCTTCCCAGGTAGGTAAAGGAGGTCGTTTCTTTCAGGTTCCTTCCATTTATGCTGATTGTTGTCTGTTGTTGTTGTTGCTGTTGTTGGTGTTGGTGTTGCTCGGGAATCTTCATCACCTCTGTCTTCTCTATGTTCACCTGAAGTCCTATCTTTGATGCTTCTTCTGCCAACTTGTTGCTTTTCGCTTGCATATCTTCCAGTTTGTGGGAAATCAGACATATATCATCGGCGAAGTCCAGATCCCCGGCCGGAAATCCGGCCAGAAAGAAGTAGCAATAAGAAACTATGGGAACAGACTAGCCAAGGAGAAAATGAAGGTGGATAGAAAAGGCATACGTTGAGGAAGCCGTTGAATGACATCGCGTCCAGGTGCAGGCCTTCGTTCTACTGCAACCTGAATGAAAAACGACGATTGGATCTTCGGTGCGAGGGTGACATGGAGGAGATCGTGTGGTGAGGAGGAGAGATTATGGGGAATCGTGGGCCCAGCTAAAGAGGATAGCATAAAAAAGAACAAAGTGGAGTTATGCCTTTTGGAGACCTGTTTTCCACTCGGAACCCAAGGCAACGAATAATACAAATAGTAATTATCTGTGTCAACGAAATTGAATGGATTGAGATGGGCTAGGTTAAGACACGTGTGTTACGCATACTGAGCTATTCACCCTGCCATTCTCGTCAGTGAGCAATGTTAACTGACACGTTGAATTGGATTAGAACACGATTTAAGCAAACAAATACATATTGTCGGTAAATTCTCATCAGGCGTTTACACAGTTACATAATAAAATATCAGCCATGAACATTTGAAAAACAATGTGGATCAATAAAATCAAGGAGACTGTTAGTAGAATAATAATAATAATGACAGTTATTAGGTGTCACCAGGGGAGATAACTATTCTGGGTTAGGGTTGAAGGCCATGGGAGGCAGGTAGATTAGAGAAACTTCTTCCTAACCCGAAAATTGTTTACGGCAACTGCCTCAGCTATGCTTAGCTATCTAAGGCTTACCAACCTAGAGAATTGACGCGGCGCACCTTGTGCAGAATTGTTAAGGCTGATTCGTATCTACAAGGTGTACCAATAGGGAAACTCCTGATTGACTTTACAACTCCTTTACCACCTAACGACGTTGAATAATGTTCAAGTAGGCGACAGTAGACTTACCTTGGAGTCGTCCTGCCCTATGTAACTGTCTTCACAAAAACAATTAATTCTATAAATGCACACTGAAGTGATGATTAGAGCCAGTAACTTATCCTTCATCTGCATTGGAATCTTAAACATACTGCTTCGGCAAAGAATATTTTAGCTAAGGTTTAGGCTAGAGAAGAGTCGTCAGGTGGATGTTCAAATCAAACAAAGAAACTGACTGTTGGCTGGAGCTGCATAGCCGCGTAAGGAAATATAGTCTGTCTTACCTAGTCGGGGCTTCTTCTTCTTGAGACGCCAACAACTAAAACAGCTCTTTGAGACTGTCGATGATACATAGTTTAAAACTGAAACATAGGTTTTGTTCAGCGGGGAAACATCTCTCCATGTAACCCATTCGTGTGTTGATGTTTGTAATCTATAGGTGGTTTATGCTTGGAAGATATGAAGGCTATAGATTTCACAATTCATCCTTTTCGGGAAATTATTTGACAACATTTGCATTACTTATAATTTGTCAGTAGTTAAAATTATATCTGTACATTTTAAAATTCTTTCATCTTGAAAGACTGCGCCTGGTTAACGAAGAATATTCTTTTCGATAACATCATAAAAGCTTTTAGAAAAATCATTGTTGTTAACTTCAGCAAAAATGACCCCATACTGATGAACGATGATTAAGTTGCCATATATATAAGCTGAGATTTTGTAAATTCTGGTTTAATAGTACTACTTTGATAAAGATATTAGCAGCAGTTCAAATAGCGAAACCTCAGTAAAAACAACAATATCGTTTTGTATTTCATTCATTGGGAAATACAAAAAACCTCTATTATAATGAATATCATATATCCAATGCCTAAATTTTTTCAAACTGTTTAAAGTGAACTTGGTTTGGACATACATAATATAATCACACAACTTCGAAACTTTCGTTTTATAGTTTTCTTTATTCTTTCCTATTCATCGGAGGGGTAGTAGAATTTTCCAGATATCTGGATGGACAGGGGTTGGATCACTCCTATTACACGTGTTTGCAGTTGATTCAATGATAAATAAAGCTTCCGTTATCAATCTCTCCCTCCACCCTGTTACATTAGATTTTAAAACTGTCATTTTATCCCATCCCTCCTATTGTATTGTTGTGTGTAATTGTATGTAATGGGTGGTATAACTGAACTATTCTCCAGATTTTTATCTTATTCGGGTCAACTAATCTAGATTTTGCTGCTTGGTTTTTGTACTCCGCTAGTCTGACTGACTGCCCCTGTTCTACTACTTTGACCTGTGTATTGCACCTGACAATCATTGCAGGCAGGATATTAGATGAACTAAATTGTTTTGTTTAGTTGACTCCACTGGAGGATTCCTTAACCGAAAAAGCTTGTTTCTGATTGAGTTTGTGGGTGGTTTGAATGCCAGCCACCTTTATTCCTGCCTTGTTAATAATTCTGCGTAAGGTTTCCGAGGTTCCTTCTTTGTATGGAATTACTACTGATGATTTAGATTCCTTATTGTTGGTGTTGTCATTATCCTGCGCACGTTTGACATGCATGTCGCCATTAATATTACTAATATTATTATTATCATCATCAGTATCACCACTATTATTATTTATTTTATTTTTACATTTGATATAAGAATAAAACTTGTGCACTGTGGTAGAGTGTAATTCCATTATGGGTAAATTTTGTTTTGATAAAGTCTCACAGTGTTATACAGTAATGTTTACTGATGACGTTTCGAGCACAATTTATGAGCAGTCTTTTAAAAAAAAATTTAATGAGCATAAGGATAAAACTTGAGCACTGTGGGGTGATAGAGTATAACTTCACTATGGATAAAATTTTGATAGAATCACACAGAGTGGTGTTATACAGTACAGTAATATTTACTGATGACCACATTTCGAACACAAATTGTCATTGCCACTCGTAATCATATCAAGGCACTACACACACAAATTTCTAGCTTCATTTATATACATGAGTAAAAATTGATGATTAGACATTTGAATAAAATCAAAAATATAAGATAAAGTACATTGAGAGATAATAATATTAGTGTTATTGATCAAATACAATCAGATAGGAAATAAGACGAGTGTTTTTATAGTCAAAATAAGTAACTTGTTAGAATGTTATGATGTACGGGAATTGAAATAGAATTTTAAGATCATTTATTATTCCACTCTGATTTGACTGGTGATAACCATACCTTCTATATCTCTAGGATTTGCATTGAGTCATTTCTATTGCACGTGCTGTGTTGGGTGTAGACTCCATGAACCAGGCAGGATTCATTAATCAACCTCTTTCTCTCTCTCCACCTACCGAGATTACTTTTTAGAATTCTGACTCTGTCCCACCCATACCATTGTGTGGTTGTGTGTTAATGTATGCATGCAGTACAATTGCTGAGTTTTTTTTCTAAATTACTTATCTTCGTGGGTGCGGTCAATCATTCTAACCTTAGCTAAATTCTTATGTTCTGACAGACAATGTGACTACCCCCGATCTACTGGTTTGACCTATGTAGTTGACTTAACTCACACTGATTGCAAGGTATTTTGTAAATTATATTATTTTGTTTAATTGGATCCACCGGGTCCTTTAATCTACGGAGCTTGTCCTGCCTGGGTGAGTTTGTAGATTTGAATGCCACTGTAATTCCTGCTTTATTGAGAATCCTACGTAGGGTTTCAGATGTCTCCTCCTTATATGGTAAAACTATTGTAGATGCCTTATATTCTCTCTTATTTCTGTTATCATTATTAGTTTCACCATTAATTTTATTTTACTTTTGACCTTTACTGATATTCGCATATGTGAATTTTATGGGATATTTTATCTTATATTACTGATTTTATTCAAATGTCAAATCCTCAATGTTTACTCATGTACATATAAATGAAGCAAAAAAAGTTTTGTGAGTGACTGACTTGATATGATTATGAGCAGTAGTAAACTGTGCTCATCAGCAAAATATTACTGTACAACATCACCGTGTGTGATTTTATCAAAATAAAGTTTTTTTTTGATAATGGAGCTTATAATGAGCATCTTTCATCCTAGCTATTTTGTAAACAACTTATTATACCGATATTCAAGAAGGGAGACAAGTCCTCATGTGATAATCAAAGGGGGATCAGCCTAACGAACATAGTTTCTAAAATCCTAGGGTCAGTAATCATGCACAGACTAAGCAGAACTCGGGAGGAACAAACGAGGGAAAATCAAGCAGGCTTTAGGCCAGGTAGAGGGTGCATAGATCATATCTTCACTCTCCGACAGATCCTAGAACATAGACACACTTTTCGGCGTCCAACAATTGCCTTATTTCTTGACTTGAAGGCGGCCTTCAACTCCGTGGATCGAAAGTTACTATGGCAATGTTTGACTGTGAAGGGAGTACCAAGAAAGTACATTGCACTAATCAAGGCACTCTACTCAAACTCACGTAGCCATGTAAGGGCTTATGGGGAATTGTCATCTGAATTGATAACAACCAGTAGTGTCCGTCAAGGATGTCCACTTTCCCCATTCCTGTTTAACTTCATCATAGATATGCTAATGGAAGTATCCTTAACTGAACTTAACGACTTAGGAATCGACTTGTTACCAAGGAATAGTCTTATGGACTTAGAATATGCAGATGACATAGTCCTGTTAGGGGAGGATGCTGACAAAATGCAGAGTCTTCTGAACACCTTGAGCAGCAATCTTCGTATGTTTGGCATGCGATTCGCCCCTGTAAAATGTAAGATGCTGCTATAGGACTGGACTACGTCAACTCCTAGCTTAGTGATAGGGAGTGAAGTGATAGAACATGTTGACCACTTCACCTATTTGTGAAGTTGTATCAGCACCAACGGATTGATTGGTGACGAAATCTCAGCACGGATCCAAAAAGCTCGAGCTGCTTTCGCTAACTTACACCATCTCTGGCGTAGGCGTGACATCCGGTTATCAACCAAGGGACGTGTTTACTGCTCAGCAGTTCGCTCCGTCCTTCTCTATGGCTCTGAAACATGGCCAATACGAGTTGAAGACATGAAAAGGTTGACTGTTTTTGATCACAGATGTTTACGATCTCTTTCTCACGTTAGGTGGTATAATAAGGTAAGTAATGTTGACGTTAGGCGTAGAGTGTTGGGCAAAGAGGGAAAATCAATCGACGATGCTATAAAGTAACATAGATTGAGATGGCTAGGTCACGTGCTGCGCATGCCTAACCATCGCCTCCCCCGAAGGACGGGCATTACTAGCTGATATAGGTGCAGGTTGGAAAAGAGTAAGTGGTGGCCAAACAAAAACATGGCCTCATCAATCCATGAAATCCTTGACAGTTAAACTGAGTCAGGTAGGGAGGAAGATGCAGACTTCCGGGTTGGGGCCCGCCCTCGGGACTCTAAGAATCAATGGCTGGAGACAGACAATAGGTGACATGGCTCAAAATCCTCGTTGTCAATGGCTTACGCAGATGTATTCAGTCTCTGTAATCTTTCATATTCCTTTCTACCATTACTCATTCTGTTTCACTCTTATACTTGTCAAAAGTCTATTGATTCTCTTCACTCATCTTCTTGTCTACCTTTGTGTGCTATTTGGAACGTGGCAACTCGAACTGCTGCACTTTGGTGTCAAGTTTTATGTTGAATCCAGACAGACAGACAGACATTTTGTAAACATACATGCATACATTCACTTATTTCCTCTAATCTTTCTTATGGTAATTTTACTTTTTCCCCTTTCACATTTCAGAATTCTGTACAACAAACTGTATTGAATTATCTGAAGAATGATGCCAATTTATATATGAATATCTTAACATATACGGTAATTTGATAGAATATATTATAGATGTAGTGAATAATGTTCATTTGTATTTTAGCCATTAGAATTTGATATTGTGCATAATATGCTTAAATCAGCTGGTATCATAATTGGTCAACAGAAATTAATGAATCTTTTAGATGATCAGGTAAGCGGTTCCCGCATTCCTCTCTCTTTTTTTTAATATTATTAGTGTGTGTGGTAATATGTAATAAGTACCTAAGGTGTATGTTACACAGTCTTCTGAGGAGGCGGGGGGCGGAGGACAGTAACAGCTGTTGAAAGGAACACATTTTGAGGAGTTATTAAACTGACTAACACTTATCTGAACAGGGCGTGGACACTAGTCGTCTTCCTTTAACTGACTGACTGACTGGGTTTCAACATAGAACTTTGCATCGATGCGCAGCAGTTTGAGTCGCCTCGACCGATAGCTGCTACCTTGGTGTGTGGTGGTCGCCGGGCTTGCACATCGCGATGACCCAACAAGCTATGCTGGCTGGAACTATTGTTCCTGTGTAGGTCCTACCATGCCAGGAAGATTGTTAGGATAGCGATTAGACTAAAAGCAGTTACCGGCATAGTGTAAACAAATTTTTCTACACTATGCTAGGGATCTGTGGGCGAAGTCGTATTGCTGGGGTACAGGAATGTAACAGCAGTAAGGTGTTTCCCTCATTCAGATGACCAGCATACCAGCCAGCTATGCTCTATCTCCACTCTGGAGGGAGGGGATTAGAAAAGGTCGACCCCAAAATTGTACATCCCGACTTACCCCATGGTGGTCCGTAACCGGCGGTAAGTTACTAATACGGAACCAAACCAAGAAACCAGTTCAGACAGGTTGTGTGTGTGACCGGCCTCAAGCAGTTGTCTCCTGGGCTCTGCGGTCACGCAACACTAATTCTTTTTATGTCTCAGGTACCCGAAGAATTCATCAACTTCCACGGTGTGGGGGGCAGCCGGGAAGTAACAACCACCCACACACTTCCAAAAGGCACAGCAGTAGTACCTCATGATGTGGAATTACTCTAGAGGTGTTTAAGGATGTCGGAGATCATTCACTGTCTAGGTTAACTAAGGCATATGGCAATATCTAGGACTTAGAGATAGATAGTCCCGTTGGACTGGTGTATGTTTATTGATTATCCCAGTATACAAGAAGAGGCAGACAAGTCTTCCTGTCATAATCACAGGGGGATAAGCTTGACCAATACGGTGATATCTAAAGTTCTAGACTCAATAATAATGCGTAGACTAAGTGGTGCTCGGGAGGAAAAAACACGAGAAAATCAGACAGGCTTTAGACCAGGAAGAGGGTGAATTGATCATATCTTCACCCAACGACAGATTTTGGAACATAGGCATACTTACCGTTGGCGTTCATCAATCGTCATACCTCTTGATCTGAAAGTGGCATTTGATTCCATCGACCGAGAGGTACTTTGGAGATGTTTGGTTGTGAAGGGAATGCCGAGAAGATACATTGCACTGATCAAGGCACTTACTCTACTCGAACTCATGCAGTCAGCCAGGTGAGAGTATATGGAGAGTTGTCATTTGAAGTGGTGAAAACCAGTGGTGTCCTTCAGGGATGCCCACTGTCCTCGTTTCTGGCTAACTTGATCATAGTTGTACTAATGGACATAACCCTAACTGACTTCAGCGACTCATGGAATAATCTCGGTGACTTAGAATATGCGGATGATATAGTCCTCCTTCCTAGGTGAATACGCTGAACACCTTGAGCTGAGCAGCAATCTTCGAATGTGTGGCATGCGATTCACTCCTGCTGTCAAATGTAAGATGATGCTACAGGACTGCACTACATCGCCTCACTCCTAGCGTAGAGATAAGGAGTAAAAGAGTAGAGCGTGTTGATCACTCCATTTATTTGAGAAGTTGCATCAGCCAACACCAGCGAGTTGATCACTGACGAAATCTCACGACGCATACAGAAGGCTCGTTTGGCTTAGTAGACGTGATATCCGGTTGACTGTTGATCAAAGAACGTGTGGTGTGTAATGCTCAGCAGTTGGCTCTGTCTTCCTTTGTGGCTGGTTGTGAGATATGGCCATTGAAAGTGGAAGATATGAAAAAGTGGGCTAGCTGTCTTTGGTCATAGGTAGGTGTCTGCATTCTATCTCCCGTGGTAAGTGGGTGAGCAATATTGAATAAGTGGTTAGACTTCAGTCGAGTGCTAGGTAATGAGAGAAAGAAAGTCGACGATGTTGTGCAGTTACATCGATTGAGATGGTTAGGACACGTGTTACGTCTGCATCCCTAGCCATCCATCGCCTTCCTCGACAACAGGCAGTGTTAGATGACATAGGATCATTTACTGGGAGCGGGATGCAAGTATATTCAGCCAATGAGTTTCAGTGTGGACGAAACACTGACTAACTGACTGACTGGTTTCAACATAGAACTTTGCACAGTAGTGCAGCACTTCGAGTAGTCTTCACACTGCCTCCATGTAACACACAAAGTGTCTTGAAGACTCCAATGAGTCACTTGACACATCCTAATATATATATAGGCTGACTCAAACTAGTAATCGTCTAAGGCTTGATGCATGAATTGATGCAAAATTTTGATGTGACCATACCTTAACACATGTGCGTCGGTGGCACGGCGGTTAGGACGCTCGCCGACCATGCACATGGTCCGGGTTTCGAATCCCGGCCGGCGCACTCCTTTACCTCGTTAAGCCAGAAATAAAGCTGGTAAAGAGTAAAAGGCTGGGCATAAGGCTAGCAACTCCATCCTGTAAAAATTAAACACTGCTATAGAAACTTCAAGCCACTAGCTTGAAGCCCTATGTTCCACTGGGGAACGTGAAGGAAAAAAAATACCCTAACACGGTTTAAATCTAATCCAACGTCTTCAGCTAACCATTGTTTGACATACAAGGAAGTCGATGTCACATGTCCCAACTATCTCAATCGATGTATCGTTTCAAAATCCTAAATTGGCTAACTTCCCCACTCACCCCACCTACCCAAACCCGCCGCTTACCTCGACCGGACCAACACCGGTTAACTAAATTTTTCATTACAGAAAGAAAGATAGTATAGGTATGTTAGTGAGATGATAACATTAAATGACCATATTCATATTAATTAATAATTAATTCGCATCAATCTTCTATTTTACTCCAAATGTACAGTGTATTACATTCACTCTACGGAATCGTGTTAAGCATCATAATACGGCTAGCGCTAGTGGTGGTGGTGGTGGTGTAATTCACGCGGTAAACGATCAGTCAATCCAAACAGAAAACTATCATCGAATCAACGGAAACATCAAACTCATCATAAAACCTGAAATCTTTCTATATAGAAATATATTAATGTTGACTTTTGAAATCTTTCGTCAACTGTGAAGTATGATATCTAACAATTTGTATATTTGTATTTATATTTAATTATTTATTTATTTATGTACTTCATTATTTCATTACCTGTAAATATGAATTGAGTTAACGAAAAACACGAACTACTTCTCTAATGTACGAATAAATTCGCCTAAGCCACCTAAAACATCAACCAACTGAAAAAATCTCGATGATGAAGACAAAACATCCCTTATATTTCCTCCTAAATTTCCTCTCCCCCCTCCATCACCTCATCGGGTATCACTCAGCTCGTTGACACAATGCTAACCCAGCTAGCATTCACTTCGTTCGAAATAAAGAACTTTGGGGAACACTGCGGATTACTGTTTCACTTCATCCAGTACGCTAATGGGGACACTCTTCGATGATGCGAGAGTTGGTGCAGAGCAGAGTACATTTGATTGATTGATACTGACTGATTGATCGGGTGAAGTAAAAGCCAGCTCCTCGACCGGGAATCGAACCCGGGCCTTCCACGTGACAGGCGGAGATACTCACCACTATACTATCGAGGAGCACGTACACAGTCACATAATCAACCAACTTCACACAACACTAACAAATACACACGCACACACACACACACACACACACACTCACAACCACCAAACATCAACTCCATCATTCACTAAACAAATATCATAACAACAATATCATCTATCACTCACTCATCACTTCAAAGAACTCACAGAATATTCACCAAGCCACAACTAGCCACATCATCAAGTAACGACGCTCGCTTCAAGTCTCCTCACACTGACAATCTCATCGACACACTGACAATCCATCCGTCACTCGTCTACCCACACACTCACTCGACATCAAATTCACAAACAAACTAACAACCAAACAATCAGATACACACACACACACATACACACAACGATTCCCACTACTGCAAGCTGATTTCCTCAGAAAGATGAAAATCACCTCTGAAACGACAATTCATGTCATCTGACCGAAACCAAATGCATTTGTACTCACGACACGAGCACAACACACATATGCATGTATGTGCGTTGTCATGTGACATCTCTTCCCTGTATCCACCCATGCATGCATCGATCCAGGAATGAGGTGATTGCTTATTTGCAGAGGTGACTACTATACATTGTGAAGTGGTGTTGGCGTGTGTGTGTGTGTGTGTGTGTATGCAGATTTTGAAGTGGATGGATTAGTTAGTGATTTGGATATATGTTGGAGTGAATGAGTGATAATGTGGTAGGCTGACGGATTGACTGATTGATTGGTTGATTGATAGATTGTTTGTTTGAAAAGAGAGTGTGTGTGATGTGTTGTATGGTGGTGGAATAGTGGGGCGGGCCTCTTTAGCTCAGTGGTCAGAGCACTGGTCTTGTAAACCAGGGGTCGGGAGTTCGATCCTCCCTGGGGGCAGAGGGTTTTGAGAAACCACAACACAACACAACACACTACAATCACACAAACAAAAACACAAACACACCAACAATAAATCAACACTCAACAACTACTCATCCTCACCGAATCACACGCACACGCACAGACGAGCGCGCGCGCCCAATGCATCCATCAACACTTGCCTCAAAATAACCACTATGTCGAATCACCTAGATAGAAGCCATAATGATAGATACACTGTCTGTCGAAGACGGACACATACCCACTTACACGCACGCACGCACGCACACACACACACACACAAACACCATTCGCGGATGTACACCATCGACGCTCATCTCTCGCCCGTTCGCTCCTCGCCTATCCATCGATCAACATTTCTGTGTGCATTGCTCTCCTCCACTGTGTGTGTGTGTCAGCGTCTCGTCTATGAAATACAGCAAATCGAAGTATTACTGCTTACCTGTCAATACTCGCTCTCCCCCCTCTCACCCTCTCTCTCGCTGCCCCTCTCGCTCTCTCTCTCTCTCTCCCTATCTCTCACTGTCGCTCTCTCCTTGTATCTATCTCCTTCCCTCCATTTCTCCATCGCCTCATCTCGTATCACGTATCACTCAGCTCGTTGACACAGTGCTGACCCAGCTAGCATTGTCTTCTTGCGCATTGACGAACTTTGGGGCAGACTGCAGATGACTGACTGTCTCACTTTCTGCAGAAAGTACGTCCGAAGAAAATGCTAGCTGGGTGAGGAGAACATAATCTTCGTCCATCCGACATTTCTTCCGACATCCGTGTAATGCTGTGTTCTGCTGTGCTCCGCTCTGCTGTCTCATTCATTTCGTATCAGTGAACTTACATTTATGATTTTGAGTGTTTCCGCTTGACTGAGTGTGTGCTGGTGTTCGGTCGGTCGGTCGGTCGGTCGGTCGATCGATCGGTCTGTCAAGGTGATGGCGACAGTGTTGTATGGTGCGAGAGTTGGTGCAGAGCAGAGTACATTTGATTGATTGATGACTGATTGATCGGGTGAAGTAAAAGCCAGCTCCTCGACCGGGAATCGAACCCGGGCCTTCCACGTGACAGGCGGAGATACTCACCACTATACTATCGAGGAGCACGTACACACTCACATAATCAACCAACTTCACACAACACAAACAAATACACACGCACACACACACACACCACACACTCACAACCACCAAACATCAACTCCATCATTCACTAAACAAATATCATAACAACAATATCATCTATCACTCACTCATCACTTCAAAGAACTCACAGAATATTCACCAAGCCACAACTAGCCACATCATCAAGTAACGACGCTCGCTTCAAGTCTCCTCACACTGACAATCTCATCGACACACTGACAATCCATCCGTCACTCGTCTACCCACACACTCACTCGACATCAAATTCACAAACAAACTAACAACCAAACAATCAGATACACACACACACACACACACAACGATTCCCACTACTGCAAGCTGATTTCCTCAGAAAGATGAAAATCACCTCTGAAACGACAATTCATGTCATCTGACCGAAACCAAATGCATTTGTACTCACGACACGAGCACAACACACATATGCATGTATGTGCGTTGTCATGTGACATCTCTTCCCTGTATCCACCCATGCATGCATCGATCCAGGAATGAGGTGATTGCTTATTTGCAGAGGTGACTACTATACATTGTGAAGTGGTGTTGGCGTGTGTGTGTGTGTGTATGCAGATTTTGAAGTGGATGGATTAGTTAGTGATTTGGATATATGTTGGAGTGAATGAGTGATAATGTGGTAGGCTGACGGATTGACTGATTGATTGGTTGATTGATAGATTGTTTGTTTGAAAAGAGAGTGTGTGTGATGTGTTGTATGGTGGTGGAATAGTCGGGCGGGCCTCCATAGCTCAGTGGTCAGAGCACTGGTCTTGTAAACCAGGGGTCGGGAGTTCGATCCTCCCTGGGGGCAGAGGCTTTTGAGAAACCACAACACAACACAACACACTACAATCACACAAACAAAAACACAAACACACCAACAATAAATCAACACTCAACAACTACTCATCCTCACCGAATCACACGCACACGCACAGACGAGCGCGCGCGCCCAATGCATCCATCAACACTTGCCTCAAAATAACCACTATGTCGAATCACCTAGATAGAAGCCATAATGATAGATACACTGTCTGTCGAAGACGGACACATACCCACTTACACGCACGCACGCACACACACACACACACACACACAAACACCATTCGCGGATGTACACCATCGACGCTCATCTCTCGCCCGTTCGCTCCTCGCCTATCCATCGATCAACATTTCTGTGTGCATTGCTCTCCTCCACTGTGTGTGTGTGTGTCAGCGTCTCGTCTATGAAATACAGCAAATCGAAGTATTACTGCTTACCTGTCAATACTCGCTCTCCCCCCTCTCACCCTCTCTCTCGCTGCCCCTCTCGCTCTCTCTCTCTCTCTCCCTATCTCTCACTGTCGCTCTCTCCTTGTATCTATCTCCTTCCCTCCATTTCTCCATCGCCTCATCTCGTATCACGTATCACTCAGCTCGTTGACACAGTGCTGACCCAGCTAGCATTGTCTTCTTGCGCATTGACGAACTTTGGGGCAGACTGCAGATGACTGACTGTCTCACTTTCTGCAGAAAGTACGTCCGAAGAAAATGCTAGCTGGGTGAGGAGAACATAATCTTCGTCCATCCGACATTTCTTCCGACATCCGTGTAATGCTGTGTTCTGCTCTGCTCCGCTCTGCTGTCTCATTCATTTCGTATCAGTGAACTTACATTTATGATTTTGAGTGTTTCCGCTTGACTGAGTGTGTGCTGGTGTTCGGTCGGTCGGTCGGTCGGTCGATCGATCGGTCTGTCAAGGTGATGGCGACAGTGTTGTATGGTGCGAGAGTTGGTGCAGAGCAGAGTACATTTGATTGATTGATACTGACTGATTGATCGGGTGAAGTAAAAGCCAGCTCCTCGACCGGGAATCGAACCCGGGCCTTCCACGTGACAGGCGGAGATACTCACCACTATACTATCGAGGAGCACGTACACACTCACATAATCAACCAACTTCACACAACACAAACAAATACACACGCACACACACACACACACACACTCACAACCACCAAACATCAACTCCATCATTCACTAAACAAATATCATAACAACAATATCATCTATCACTCACTCATCACTTCAAAGAACTCACAGAATATTCACCAAGCCACAACTAGCCACATCATCAAGTAACGACGCTCGCTTCAAGTCTCCTCACACTGACAATCTCATCGACACACTGACAATCCATCCGTCACTCGTCTACCCACACACTCACTCGACATCAAATTCACAAACAAACTAACAACCAAACAATCAGATACACACACACACACACACACACAACGATTCCCACTACTGCAAGCTGATTTCCTCAGAAAGATGAAAATCACCTCTGAAACGACAATTCATGTCATCTGACCGAAACCAAATGCATTTGTACTCACGACACGAGCACAACACACATATGCATGTATGTGCGTTGTCATGTGACATCTCTTCCCTGTATCCACCCATGCATGCATCGATCCAGGAATGAGGTGATTGCTTATTTGCAGAGGTGACTACTATACATTGTGAAGTGGTGTTGGCGTGT